CTAATCAAAGAACATTTTATAAACAAGATCATGGATCATAATAGAATATTTAGTCAAGAGGTCAATATAGGCCAATAGAGATAGACTGATTTGACCTTGAATATACCAAAAACAGAGAATTTTTAAAGGTTCATAATCAATTACCTACATGATGTATCTCTATTAAATTGTGGTTAGCAATCTACTCTCTATATTTTATACAGACATACATTTTATAAAATAAATAAAAAGGGTCAAATTGAAAGTCACTATGAATTATAAACAGATATGAATATCTAATCATATTTTATTGCTGCTAAGTATATTATAATCTAGTTGTAAGTTTAATCATAACAACTATGGGGAAAAGGAGAATCGATTAGATGAAAGTAAATCACATTCTAGTGTTATGATTGGTTTCTTTCTTATCTAGACATGAATCACATTATCCTATGGATAGAACAAAGTATTGAAAACAATAGTGGTAATGTAATCATCATAAAAATTTGTGTGTGTATGTGTGCACGTATGTATGTGTTATATAATGAAATATTAGTTCACTCACACTGTCTAATTGCATTGAAAAACACTTAAGAAACGGATTATATTAAAACAAAACAAAGTGAAATAACTTACACTACTGAAGGAACTCTAATCCTACATTGACAATATTCTACAAAAGTATGAGGATGTATCGATATACAAAATAATAAAAAGTCGAATGCAGTGGAAATTTGCATATTTTAAACTAACTCAAGTTCATCACAGGCATCCATAATATTTGATACTGTTTATCTAAAAAACAAATTGTTATTCGCTTATTTGACTATTGTCAGCTAAGAGCGAAAACATTTCTAGACAATTCATAGTTCTAGTATGGGACTCCTCAGCAGTGCCCATCCACGATCCCACACCCCGCGAGATTCGAACCCAGGACTTATTAGTCTCGCGCCATGCGCTTAACCAACTAGACCACTGAGCCGGCGGCGCAACTTCGTGGATTGGTTGAAGTTAGACATTAACACCATTGGTGCCGGCTCAATGGTCTAGTTGGTTAGGCGCTTGGCGCGAGACTGAGAGGTCCTGGGTTCGAATCTCGCGGCGTGCGAGACCGTGGATGCGCACTGATGAAGAGTCCCATACAAGGACGAAACGACCGTCCAATGCTTCCAGGTTTTCCATGGTGGTCTAGCTTCAATTGACTCATGATTTCAATCTGTGAAATTTCTAAAATCTCCACAAACCCCTTCTGATAATTCATAGTTCGCCAATAATTTCGAGTTGATAATTAATTATAGGACATCAAAAAATATCAACTAGATATAACAATAAGCTTAACTCTAATATCAAACTTTAAGAGATGACTGTCGATAGTACGTGAAACGAAACCTTGTTGTATGGTCATAATTCTCAGAGAAAATATATAAATTCATTGAATGGAAAGTTACATTTAGAACGGTAAATAAAAAAATTATTTGGGTTAGCTGGAACGGTGGCTTACTTAGTAAGTAACGTCTGAATATATACATCAATACTAGTAATTGTTTTCCTTTATTCAGGTATCCTTCCTCGATATACATTCAGTCAATTAAACAAAAATTAAAAAGTAGAATAAGAGGAAGACATTACATCTTTATTTTCTCAGTAATAAAAGCATTGACATGGGATTAAACCCAATGCTGTTAAAACTATTGAAACTCTAAAACTCGACAAAGAATCACTATAGGTCCGTCATCAATGTTTATACAAAAATTTAGAACTTTTTATGATATCCGCCAAGTTAGTAGGTCAAGTAAGGAGGGCAATAGTTTCAGTGTTACCTCATATTCGTTCACAAATAGATTATCTGACATATAAAGAGACTATCGGATTCAAATCAAATTGTATAACTCACTATGTGTAAACTCGACTCAATGCTAAACTGTATATGAAAACCAGGAACACTATCCAGTAACTCAAACAGAATTAGGAATTATGATATTTGGACTTTCAACTCGAATAGCTGAAACCATGTGTGTGCTTTAACAATAAATTAACAGTTGTCCTTACTTAACAAATATCCATGACACAAACCAAATATAATTTGTACATATTAAAAGTTAGTTAAATGTAAATCGATTTTTGTTGGTCAACACAAACATGGGATCTAAAATGGGACGGTGAAATCATGTCTACCTCACCTCACCCCCCGAAAAAAAGTAGTATAGTTTGTTCAATGAGAATGATTTACTATTCTAATCATTCAACCAAACTACAAAGCTTAAAATAGTATTTTACAACTGTAATGTATTATGATAGAAATTATTTTTAGCTTAGCTTAAATGGAAATAGTGTAGGTTCATATATGTATATGATTGTTTTTAGTTATTTAACGAAAATGTATGTCTATCTGTATAGTTGTAACTAATGTATTTCATACCTTTAAAAGAATTAAAAAACGAGACAAATCCTGTTATTTTTCAGTTTCGGTTTCCGAGTATCGATCCCCTAGTAATGATGATGACGTTGCAATGATATATATATATATATATATATATATATATATATATATATATATTGGCAAACTAAGAAAGAGGCTTTACCGATTATCTTCGACGTAAAAAGGTTTTACAAGGTAATATTTAATCGGCAATTCGATAAGTCTTGCTAACTGAACGCTAGACTTGTTCCTAAGCTCTTCTAGTAACCCCCAGGCTAGATTTACACAGCGGTGTGAACACGAGAGAAAAGGCGAGAAATATATGAGAAACACTTTACTCCAAAGGTTCGTTTTTGTACAAAAAATGTAGGGTTTTTATAGTATTTTAGATGTGCTTGGGTCTCCTGAAAATTCTGGAATGCTACTAAACATAGTAGCAATATAAGTAATCATCCAATCAGAAACTCTGTATGTGACTTTTCACTTTCTTGATGTTTCTGGCAAAACTTCTAGTGAACGTTGATTGGATAAGATGCTTCTCAGAGTTTTCAGAGCCTTTCTTGGTTTTTTCCAGGAGTTTTCTGGATCTCCCTAACGCAATCAACAGACTATAAACCATTACTTGTTGTATTAAGGTCAAAGAAGGGATTTCCTGCTCACACGGCTAACTGGCTACAACGATAGAGAACTACACTTCTGATCTACGACTTTAAGATCAAGTACCAGGTGACTACAACTTTTGGACAAGCTGGTGCCTTGTCTAGATTGATAGATTTTCAGACAAAAACTTCAGAAGACATTGTCGCGGTAAACAAAGAAACCGAAAAAGAAGTTCGTCGCATATTGGATGATGTAATCGATGGACTATCGGTTACCTTCACAGCTACCATAGAAACCACTGAAAATGGAAAGAGAAGTTAAAGGTTATCTTTTTACTAGATGGTCGAAACGTCGCTTTCAAAGAGAACTTTGCAATACTTTCGTCGATTTCACTCACTGATGGTTGTCGGCTCATGTGCTATGTTGTGATCGACCGAACTACTATCTCAGAATTACTGCGCCAAAGAGTTCCCAAGCAACTTCACAGTCATTACCCTAGGATTAATAAGATGAAATAGTTGGCTTGATCCTACGCTTATTGGCTTTCGATGGACAGAGATATTGACGTAAAATCTCATGACCGTTCATTCTGCCATCAAGTTGTTAAAAACCCTTCGAAATTTGAACCCCAGCAATAACCCAAACCTGTTAGACCCTGTAGGAAGCTTCATACAGATTTCGCTGGTTCAGTTCAAAGAAAAATGTTACTAATTACTTTGGATTCATTTACAAAGTGACCAAAAAAATATAGTGTCAAAATATACAGCCGAACAAAACATAAAAAAGTTGTCTGCTTTGTTTGATAATGCAAAGAACTCTGTGATGTGAATGGAATAACTCAAGCTGTCCACCCTATCATCCTCAGTCTAAAGGATAAGTTGAACGCTTCATGGACATCAAGAGAGTACTGAATAAAGGGAGAGACGTGGGGACGTCCAGTCAATCAATCACTATGTTCTTAACACCTAACAGAACGAACTTTAACCCTTTTTGTGCCAGACGAAAATTCACTAACCAGTCATGTTTGCAGAAGCATTCGAATGAATTTCAGCGCTATACTACCACCCAAAAAGGTGAATGGCCACGTAGAAGTAGTTATATTCGCGATTTCGACGTAAGGGAAGAGTATTTGACAAACCAGGGTCGAAATTGATGGGAACCAGGGATAACTGTACAAAGAATGGGGAGTTTCGTATAAAGTGCGAGGAGCCTTCGGAACATATATTAAGGATACGAAACAAATTCATAAAGATAAAAGTACGGACGCAAAGAGATGAAATCCAACAAGAACCCGATAGAACGTTTTAGAATATCAACATGTCATGATGTGTTTGGACAGTCGTATAACTTCTTGATTGTGGATTATGATGGTACAGCGTATACTAAAAACCATAAATACCCCGCTTTTCTGTACAATTTGACACTTAATAAGCACTTTTCCTTCTTTGTTGTTTTACAACTGATGGTTCTACGCGTTTCACTCACGACAGCTATATACTGCATCAGCCGTCATCTAATAGAGAACGTAACAAACTTAACATTAATATCGGTACGTTTCCTAAATAATTTAGTTGTACATGTTGGTCAAATCAACTTGACCTAGTGATATTGTAGATTGTATGCATACATTAAATTACTGGTCGATCAATATCAAGTGGTGCCCCGGTTGGATTGTACTTGAATTGGATTACTAGCTAGGTAATCAAATGATATATATCTCACCAATTTTCTAAGCAGTTCTAATCAGTTATGAATCAGCGGTTGGTGCATAACAAACTATTTATCTGCAGTCTCACTGTTTTTCCATGAATCGAGCAGTGCCAATCTTTGTTTCGGTTATATGTTAGGAAATGATGGTTGTGTCTGCAATAATAGTAAATATCATTACTAGTATTTCATCAAGTCATTACATGCTTAAAATTAATTTTTCGTAGTTATGGTCTTTTTCATTCAATGAAAACATAAAAAATGAACTTTAACAATAAAGAACCCCGAAACTAACCTCAAATGACTTTCTGAATTCTCGTAAATGTTTAATACGAAATAAGTACAGTCCTTCACCGCGTGGAGCCCGTCTACCTGTTTCCACTTTAAACAAACTATTGCCATAGAAGCCAAAACGACGTAAAGTGACTAACGGCCATGACAATCTTAAAGGTGGTGGTGGAAGACGAGGTTTGACATCTTCAGGGTACCTACAAAATTAACTAATTTTTAAGTTTCAGATACCACAGGTTAATATTTATCAATAACTAAAAAAAATTAATCTTGGCCGCAGTAAATAGCACTGGATAGTATGTTACTGAATATCAAAAATTCAGTCTCATTTGTTTTTCACATTATTTTGCATTCAATAAAATGTACAAATAGAACTTTGATTGAATCGATGCGCCCCAAAACATTCTACTTCACACCACTAAGTGATAAAATAAGAAACGCTAATCTTCACTAAGATATAACAGTTTCCTTAGAATCCTGTAGTCCATGTACACCATTGGTTCGGAATCAAGGTTTTCTACTCCCCTAGGTGGATTCTCCGTATCCGCCAACCCGGTTAAAGCACCGGACATTTGCTTTCTGTCCTCTCACTTTCGTAAAAAACGCCCCCGTCGCAAGAGGGCAGTGGGTAGGATTTCCTGAGAGTGGCTGTATACGCGTGGTCATGTGAGAGCATTTGGATAAAGAGAGCTGACTCTCCTCATTTTCGGCCCTACCAGGGAATTTGGGGGCGGTTTAAAAAACAGAAATTTATTAAAATTAAATGTATAAATATGTAAATACCGATTGTTTCTTACTTTATAAAGAATTTAAATTGAACAATGAAAAACACTGTCGAGTATTAAGCTCTGTTGATGTCGAAATAATTATGATTACAATTATTTTTTAAAAAACTAGGTTGAGAAAAGGTTAGGACTATGCTGTTTATTAGATACTGCTGTTAACACGGTCCTTGGATTATTTACTTAATGTTCACTGACGTGTAAGATGTACACGATTTTAGGAACTTTGACCTTCAGTTTTTCTAATAAAATAAATAGACCAATTTATAATGATTATTCTTAAGGATAAGTTCTCCTGTATTCGTGATACCGCCTATTAAGCCACTAGATATATATATAATAGTGTTACTAGATGACAAAATAGAACCATCTATAGCTGGATGAAATAGTACAACAGTTCAAATTATCTACCTGTTACGGATATTCTATAATAGGAAAGATAAACAATAAAGGTGAATGTTACAAAACGCATGAGAAGACGAAAAATAAACAAACTGAAGTAAGATAAAATGGCAAATATTTAGATGGGAAATAAAAGTGCATTTCTCGTGGTGATCAAAAATCAACTACAAGCAAGCATACTACTTTTCTTACGAGCACTTTATAAATTAGTAAAACATCTTAATCTGACAAATGACAATTTTGCCAGCCTGTTTTCATTGGGGCCAACAGTAGTCAGAAAAGCAGATGATGTTACAATCACTAGGATTTACTTCGCATGTTTCTTTCTTAATAGGCGTATGCAAAGGACTTGATTTTCGACCTGATGATAAACAGTTGACGAAAATCAAACATCTTGATATTTTAGGCTTTTCGCCCAACAAGTCTAATATCTTCTATGAACTGTGGGATGTTTCAAAAACATTTTGCGAATTTGGACATGAATTGATGACAATGATAATGTTATGATATCTCTTTTGTTTATTATTAATTTATTTGAACACATAAATATTGGTACAAAGGGATACCAAATACATATGCGCCACACAATAACAATGAGAATGAGAAGAGATAGAGAATGTAAAGCGTGTATAAGAAAAAGGAGAGCGATAACGAACAAAAATTAGTGTATGATAGTATAATAATAATAATAATAATAATAATAATAATAATAATAATAATAATAATAATAATAATAATAATAAGAAGAAGAAGAAGAAGAAGAAGAAGAAGAAGAAGAAGAATGGGAGACGTAGTTCAGTTAGCAAAGGTACAACCAGTAAGAATTCTTCCAGCTAAAAAAGTCACGTTCATTTTTTATGAAGAAAGTAAAAGAAAGTGTTATATGGAGCTTATATTCTTTGATATACCACGTACAACTTGAGCACTCGAACGCTGGAACCCTCCAAGTAGTAAATGAGAAGACAGAAGACGAGAAGGAATGTTATTCCAAAAAGTGTCAAATATGGTGCAAAACTCTCAGGTATTTATAGTTTTTAGGAAAAGCGAAATCATCATTACAGTCATCCGATCTGCATACAGTGGTTTTTAAGCTTTTGCCCAACAAGGAAGCTACCAGTCGAGATTCTGGAACGTTCTCCCAAAAGATGATTGGGTAGAATGACTCCGGCTCTTTCTGAGCGTCTTAGAGCTTCCTTGAGTTCACCCATGGGCCGTCCTTACAGAAAGTTACAACAGGATCGCCACTGCATTCTATTTTGAGCCATATCTGAAAAACGTCTCTAGCCACTGTGTTGTACCATCTCTCGGACCCCAACAAGAAGTCGTGAAGGACCAATAGAAGCCAGCCATGTACAGCTTTCTTTCATACCACGACACCGTGTCATACATTGACTATCTTTCCGCCTTTTCCAACTAGTCCCAGCGTCGGAAAATAATGCACGACGTGGAATTCTCTGGGATGACACTCGTAGAACATAACCAAGCCACCGAAGTCGATGTTTCAAGATAGTGACAACAATTGAATTATCGTTGCTGTGCCTGAACACACGATGCCGAACCTCTGCATTATTAACATGGTATTGCCACTGGATGTCAGCAATTTTTCGGAAACAACAATCAATAGACACAGAAAGTCGTCTAACATTCTCAACTCGGAGAGACCAGGTTTCGCAAGCATATTATTAAAACCCAGCTATTCTTATTGTTCAGTATTCTTTGGACACTTTACTTCACTCAACAAGTCCTCAAATCAGAACACTGTTGAACAAGAACGTACTTATATTCTAACCAAACACAAAAGGATCGGAGTAAGAATCACAATTAAGGAAAACGTTAGTATATTTATAATTTCACACGAGAAGATTCTAGAGTCTTCTCCAGGAATCCGTTAGCGCTGATAGGCTAAGAAATGATCGGTCAGCCTGCCCCAACACAATACTACACGGAACATGCTTTAATCCAATCTAAATTCCGCCAACAGATAACCAATGAAGAATAAAAATGATAGATTCATACGATAAATGTGAATTACACATATATTATAGAAACAGATATAGATGAAAAAATTACCTGTTTGTCGATACATAAGGATTATCCACTAGTGAAGCTGAGCATTTCTGTCCAACCGTATCTGAATTCCCCAAATGAGAACCATTTTCAAGAAATGAAGAAATCGGTAATGGACGCTGAATTGAGCAATGCAGTTTCGGATTGTCAAGGAATCGTTCTCTATTAGTTTCTAATGTTAATTTATCAAAAAATATGTACATATGCTTAAGGAACATTGTATGAACAATTGAAATACGTTACTTTACTATAAAAAAATTATTTTTAGAAAAACCAATCTTGTATGGGTCTTGCATTAATGGATTTTAAATAATTTAATAAATTTCATTGGTTTGCATAAAAAATGGAGGACCGACTTATCATCAAGTCTTCTATGCATTATTACATTTCATTAAAGGAGTGCACACGACTAAATTGACAAATGCCATCTGTCCAAGAAGTAACTTAATAACCGATCCTAAGTTAGTATACTAAGCCGTGAGCTACAAAATACAGGTAAAGATTCGTTCGAATCTACGGGTCAGCCGTCGAAAAAATAGATGTTTAGACTAATAAGACAAGACCGAACCCACCTTTACTGCTAAAGCATGCATATATATATATCACCAAAAAAAGCACAATAGATTTATATCTTTACTTATATATCTTTCAGTCAGTCAGTAACAAAGTAGAACTTCGTACGTACGTACATCAGTTCAAGTTGCCATACCACATTAGCACAGAGATACAGTTGTCGATTCGAATCCCGTAGTGGTAGAGGTAGTAAGAGTATAAACAGTAATCAGAAAGATTAGGGTTTGAAGATGTATTTCTTTGGTACTCCTTTCAGTAAAAAACACTGCCACAGAACTTCACGATCAACAGAGTCAAATGCCGCCTTAAGGTCAAGAAACACTACGATTGTGGGGCGTCTGAATATGTGTCTATGTTCTAAGACCTGACGTAGTGTGAATATCTGGTACCGAGATTTGAACCTAGGCTTTCCTGAAAAGTAATCATGCTGATACAACTATGCCAAATAGATTGCTAATGAATTACATTTATAGCTACTAATTAATATGGGTTTTTTGTCAAACGAAGGTTGATGTTATCTATAAGATCAACGGTAATGTTAATATAACAATCTAGAGGTCAATACCTGCTCACTAAATGTTCCAGACAAATATGTTGATAACTTGAAGTTTGTGACTTCACTTCAATAATTTCACATACAGAAACTCACAAAGTAAAACTACAATTATTTGTAACAATACAAAGTGATTACTGAAACAATATTTAAGTTATTAAGACGACTGAGAATCAAAATGTTTAGAATCATAATTCAACGAATCATTTATTCTTCGTGGTCATGATGTTATGGCAAGTTGATGCATTGTCACTATAGTGAGACTTACGATGAAATATTGGAGCAACACAGTCGCTAGTTGGTCCCAGCATTTGTTGATCGATGAGCAGAAATGGAACATGTGACCTCTTGCTTACAGCTTGGAAGACCAAATTCCCATGTTCTACGAACAAACACCCGTTAATATGACAACCTTCAAGTTCTGTATACTGAACTGAACTTGAATTACGAATATCCATTGTAGAAAAAAAATCCTTCAATGTGGATTGGTTTTTTGTGGTGTCAGAATGTCGAAGCAACGTCGCAACTTGTGACCGTGTTGGGGCGCAGGAACGCTTTGGTAATGTGATCAGCGGAGATTCTACTGATTCAAAATTACCTTCAGTTTCAGCACAGTGTGATTGAGTTGCAGACAAAGCTGTGAAGTCTCCATGTATACGGATCTCTTTCATCTGATTTGAATACAATCTTCCCAGCCAAATACCACAGAGCTCAGCAGGATGATGATCTTCCAAACGTGACGTGTGAATATCTTTTGTACAAACATCGTTGTAAGCAGATCCACAAAAACGACAATGACGAGTTTCTGAATTCCTCTGAAGAACAGAATAACCGCCTGGGGTATCTATTAGTGAATTTATAGCGCCCATGAACAATTGCCTAGAAAATCAAAGGAAATAATATAGTAGGACGTTACGTGGAGTATGACATTTAACTAGATTTCACTACTTAAGACACGAACTTGTAATATCTAGTACTATGTTACGCCCACACCAGTTATTCTAGCTTTCGGACAGACCAATTAACTTATTCTTCTCAAGTTACTGTCAATACCATCTTTTCACCATGTCAATTAATCACCTACAACCTTGCCTTTTTTATGTGTATGTGTATCGCTTACCCTATTCATGTATATTAAGCTTACTTTTGCCTGGCTATAAATAGTGAGTCACGCCCAAGCAAATGGAGTTGGCACACTTCTCTGTCTTGCTTTGCCGCTTCCCATTTGTTTGCCTGAGTAAACGAAAGCCTGAAATAAATTCATCCAGCAACCTATATTTAGCTTCTCATTACGGCAGTCACACAAGCGGGGTCAGCATAGGTGTAGTATACGGGATTAAACTGGAAATTTATATTCACGGTATATGCAATCGCACTGTGCAAATTAGTCAGATCAACAAGAGCTACCAACTTTTAGTAGCTCACCAATTTAGTGGTCCGTGCAGATTCAGATAAGAACAATGATTACTGAAGCGTATAACTTGTCATGGTAACAAAAGATAAAAATGGAGGTCACTTCCGACTCTACTATACGATGTTTCTAGCATGACCCAAAGGTTCATTAATGTTATAATCTCTTCCTTTCTTACGGTTAATGACCCAGCTATTCCTATTGCTTAGTATTCTCGGACACCGATTCACTCGACAAGTCCCCAAATCAGAACACGGTTGAACAGGAAAGAGATTATATTCCAAATAGCAAGTCAGAAGCCAGTAGGAAGCACAATAGGGGAAAACGTCGGTATATTTATAGTTTTTACATAAGAAGATTCCAGAGTATTCTCCAACTATCGGCTAGTGCTGATTGGATAAGAATCAGCCAATCAGCGTGCACCAAAGCAATCATGCATTGAGCATGCTTTAATCTAGTCTATGTCCCGCTAACAATTAACAAGAGAAAAATGTACATTATTTCTTCCTCAGATTGAAAAACGGATTTGCGAATACCACAATTACAGATACTGAGTGCTGAAAATTAGGGGCGATTGGTACAGTTTTTGTGCCACAACTTAATGGTATCTCCTGAATAGTGAATGTTGTATTACTTCTATAGATAGAAATATCAACCGCTTTAAATACTTTTATAAGAGCAGTTACTGAAATGCCAGTGTAAACGGATTCCAAAATCAGACTAAAATGTCCCGGCTGGTTCGATAGAACTGAAGCAAGGCAATCAATATTTTTACATATGCCATTTATCCACAAGGCTTGTAAAATGCTAGGTTCTATAAGTTTTTTTACCAAATAATTATAAACCATGATTCCGTTCAATCTACTAGGCATAACATGTGTGAGGAAATGGCATTTATTGGTCCCTTAAACATGTAGCGGTTTTAGTGTTTAGGGAAGGGTGAAAATGTGATTGATGTACTTACAATCTGAGTATAAAACCCGTCTTCTGCTAGTCAACTTTTCATTAGTTTTGTATGGTTTGATCACTATGGCACCACTCAATATTTGAGATGCAAGACATACTCCAATTCCTGAAAAAGCTACGTACACATTTTTAGACTGAAATACCATCAAGCGAGTAAGACTATTTCTTCACTTTCTTAAGTCTTTCGTTATCCGGCCCAACTACCCTTATTGGTTGGTATTATTCAGACACTAATTCACTCGACAAGTCCTCAAATCAGGACACAGCTTGGAAAAGTATTTAATTATATCCTAAATAAACACGGTAGGATTGGAGTAAGAATCACAATAAGAAAAACGTCAGTATATTTATAATGTTATGTAAGATTCTTGAGTCTTTCTCGTGTATCTACCGTAGCCGAGTGACTGAGAATGGGCCAGTCAGTAACCCCCAACACAATTTATCATGGAACATGATTAGATCAAATGTATGTCGTGCTAATGCTCTCAGAACAATTTGACTGGCATCCAATTAGGGAAATTACATTCTTATGTGAAGAGCAGAGGGGTTGGAGTTTATCAGGACCAAATCCCTACAGCCCTAATTTCACCAGTTTCTCAAATGCAAATAGGAGTTTAATGGTCTTAATTGTCTGTGTCAGGCGTTCAGTTAGTCAGCTACAACACAGGACCAGGCACATATATGTACCGGTCCAAGTTGCTATATCTCATTAACACAACAAAATGAACACCAAGTTAATAGAAGTACTTAATTCAATCGTGGTAATATGTAAAAGAAAGATTGCATATCACGATATAGTACAGGAAGAAAGAATTAGTTGGTAGAAAGAAAGATATGAAGTGATTTTATCTCTTAGTTTAAGGGAAGACAGAGAGTGTATACACCTACGTTATTGTGATCGCTTCTGAGCCATATCACCCACAGTCTCCCACCATTGGTTACAATAATCACGCGGACCCCAACCAAGTAGTCTGCATCTACCAACATGGCTAAGATTAGAAGTTAGTGACTTCAAGCATTGATGCCACGTTTTGGTTTGGCCACCCGAACTTTCTTCTAACCATCCCCAACACTAGTCAGCATTGAGTGTCGTGGTAATCGGTGTCCAGGCATGCGTAACACGTGGCCCAACCATCTCAGACGATGAAGATTTACAACGTTATCAACTGACTTATCATCACTCCCTAATACCCTGCGTATAACCTTACTTTTACTTACACGATGATCTCAGCAAATGAGAGCAATATTCCCAAAACATCTGTGGTCAAGTACTAGTAACTTACGAATATCTACTCCTAATGGCCACGTTTTGCCTACGTACAAACTATTAGCATGGAAAATAAACGTGATCTGGTGTTAGAAACAATTGAAGAAATCAGTTTTGTAGGTCGTCCAGTCAGGTGAATTAAGATTTGATTGTCAGGTCTAATTTTTGACCATAATACCAAGAACCAGGCAGATCTCGGCATCAAATAAAGTTGATACGAATCTCTGAGATGATATTATCGAGATGAATAGCGAATAGTAGTAACATCCTTAGTAGCAAACAATGACCAGATATTGGAAAAGAATTAATTCACAACTACATTTCCCTATTATATAACGCATGTTGGATTTGATGCCCAGTTATACCAATATTTGTGTTTCAGTAAAATTAAGAAACGAAATGAACAAAATAATTTTGATACAAAGGACCTGTGAGAAAACAAAGACTGGATGCATCTTAGCTACTGTGATTAACGTCGAACCACGTCATTCAACTGTGACCGTCCCCATCGAGCGGACGCCTACCAAGCTGTCTGAAACAACCAGCACTACCCAAACCAAGTTGGTGAAATCATAGACTAACGTCACATTCTCATTCGATGTCCCTAACTTTTCTCCATTTTCTTTCTGCGTCAGTTTAAATCGAACATTTAGGTACATGTAATAAATGTCTCGACCACCCTGGTTGATGAAGATTCACTATCTTATCGACCGATTCCCAATTCTAGCCTCATAATTTGCGCTTAGCCTCAACAGTCCACCCTCAGTCGTTCCACGATACGAAATGATTTGGAGACACTTATGTTTGCATACCAGTAACCTATGGATGCTTTCTATTTTAAACAGCCACAAATTTAGAAAGCGAACAAGTAAATAGCATACACTTTCGCCGAATAGACATTTCACTATTGGAGTTACGATAGTAACACAGAACCATACAAAGCTTTCGGTCTCACAAGCTTTTTAGGTTGGAATATCTGAACTTTTTATTTAGATAAATGGAATCGCGTGTATATTACTTGTGTTAGAAACTGTCAGCGCCTCCACTCTGAATCACAACTCGACTTCAGAAGTCATAAAATTAAGCATCGCTCTACAGACCCTATTCTCCAAGGACAACTACACTTATCATATTAAGCACTACTCAATTTATTACGTAAGCACGTCTCCAGTGAGCACTTTTTTCTCACAACTGCGTAAAAACTGCAACACGCAATTACCACAAAAAGAAGTGTGCAGCTGAAAAGTCCTGTTCAACTACCAACAGAATTTCTAGGGCTGCAAACTGTCTGGAATCCAGTTTATTTACAACTGAAACGCATTGTTATTCTATGTCCGAAGACTGATGTTCAGTAGCAGCTGAACAGAAGGTGAGTAGAAATCCCGAAAACATTGTGCTCAGTCAGCCATCTACAAACACTTGCTGATAATGTGAAACCACTTAGTCCCTAGACATGTGTGGTTACTAGGCATCGAGTAAAGAACAAGAGAGAAGGTGGACCGAGTTTCTCCTGCGATGTACGTACCTTAAGGTACGTAATTTATGGTGACGTACGATCCCACTGAAATGTACTTGGTTCGAATTATCTGGAACACTCGGTCATATTAGTGAAAACTATGAATGAGGCAATAAATTCGAAAATATTTATATGCCACAAAGACTGATATAGACACTTACCGACGATCGTGATTATCAACCAAGTTGCGAAATCCGCCTTGATTTGAAAAAGACGGGTGGGGCAAATGTTGGGATACAAATAATTATAACGAATATCATTTCAGTTAATGACTTTAAAACTCAGGAATACGTGTTGTATTTCTTGTTTCACTGGTTCTTTTATGTAATGATATCTACTCGCTGCTTAATTGAGCATATCATTCTAATTACGAAGTAATATCAGTGTCCGTGGTTCAAATGACTATAGAAGGGATTGAAGCATTCGATTAATAAGTTTCTACATCTGAAAGCAGGAGATCAGTATTACCTCCAGTTACGGACCTAGGAGTACATGACAGGTAAAAAGGAAGTATTAATAAGTCATATGGGTTAATAGTGCAGTGGGATGTCACTGTGCCCCAGCCAACTAATTCTAACAGTGAGACCACCAAATGTCGAACATTTCACCGATCCTCGTCAAAGTCAAGAACAACAAACGTGCATCAGCTAATTTCACACCATGGACCGGCCCATGCAGCGGTGGCCGCACACTGTTCCTTTAACCTAACTTTACTAATAAAGTCGTTAGTGTTGTGCGGTCATCGAAGTAGCCAGTAGTATCTGGATACGATGGAAAGGCAACCTACGTTAGACAATAACCATGAGAAGTGACTTTGAATTCAGCTGGTTGTTCACAGCATTTTCATCTAACTCGAGAAGATCCTCAATAATTCGACACAGATCATCTGCGTTGATGATCTACAAGTTCTTGAGAGTATATTGAGTTTCGTCATCCAGAACTCCCGTGAAGTTGCCCGGACTGCCTTGACCGGTAGAGGGAATTCGGTACTATTAACCAGTAGAAACTGTGCGCATAGTCTATTTCGCTGTGTTTTGCATCCAATTTCTGAACAATGCACCCAAGGCTTGTGTGATGACAGAATATTGTAGTGTTGGTTATTATGTTAAGCATATATGCCTTATTCTGGCCTTCAGACAGGCCGATCTACTCATTATAGTTGAGTCATTTATTGACCTTGTTAATTGCTCGCTTATCAATCCTGACTGTTCTTATATGAGCGTATGTGTGACTATAAATACTGATTAAATAGAGTTGGCTCACACGCCTTCTGCATTGCGTGTCATTTCGATTCATATACAAAATGTATGTATTCGAAAGTCCATTCTCGGTATTTGACTTATGTAATTCCGTTATTTACTCAACGTACATTAAGTCAATTAAGATATCCGAGAATAGTCAGGGTATACATATTTCGACAGATAACATTTATACGATCTAATCGGCGTCAGATTCCAGGCCGCGAATGTGATAAGCCTGTCGACGACGAACCTAACGCAACAAGCTACGTCGAAAAGGGCTTCTGCACATTATACATTCGACGAACAAGCTCAACGGATCCAGCCCAATCTATAGTCCGAAGCACTTAGCGAAGCCTGTGCAGCACGACATGGACATCCTCAAAGCGTATTATCGTGTTGATACCTTATCCTCGTGTCAAATTTTCTCGCTGATCCTGATATATCGCGATACGAATAGTGAATGGTAACTTTTGGGATCCATTTATGGACCTATACTATGAGTATATTTTTATCGTGTAATTGTTATTTAACTAAACTGTTCATATTCATGTCGCTCTTATCATGCGCTTTATTTTAACTTATGAACAGTTATTATATGATTTACCATTCTTGAATTATTCCCTGTCTTTTATACACTACCCCCCACATTCACAGCCACATTTGGCCAAATCTTGTACAAATGTTATTTTCTATTTTATGGTACATTGTGGTCTGTTTGATTGGTATATAAACCCCAAATGTTTGAAATAAATTATTCATATTGCAGAGGCTAAGATTGGTATTCTGGACTTAACTGGCTGGGCTAGACAGGAAGCGAGACCAATGAGGACTCTAGGCTGCTTGCATGTGTTTTGTGCGTCATTGGTCCGATCGATAATTCGCTGCTCTCTGACTGGCGGTATCGTTGAGTTATCCAATATACAGGGCACACGGGCTCACAAGTTATGACAGATCCATCTGGCAGACCATTCCATATGATTCAAATTATCATCATATGCTCATTATTACATTAGTGTCCTATCATGAATGAATGTGGAATTATTATTTTTGTTCGTGCTGATATTTACTCAACTGCATCACTCAACCATCGAATTATAGTGTTATTAACATCCGATTCACGTTATGACATTTGCAACTCACTGGACTATTTCCATAAAAAAAATAACGTAGAATTTTCCCGCTCTAAGTGAGTTTGTTCCATTTTTTCCCCATGTAATTTTGGCCTAATATTACACTCATTCACTTAGTCGAGGTCATTTTTTATGTTATCATACCACACATTCTAAATTTCGGTATTTCCTCTTATTATGCCCACCGATGCTTCGAAATCTACGAGCTGATTGGTAATGATTACGTTCATCTTATCTATTCGTCCACATGTCCAACTGCATGCTACATCAATCATCAATCAAAAACATTATTCGACTACTGCAAATACTGTTTTGTTCCCATCGCACTGTATACCAGAACATAGAGTATAGTGCTAGTCTCTCAAAGACACACTCTTGTTCATCAAATCCAAATCACTCTCTCTGGCTGCCATCTTTAATCATATGTCTTGGAATTTTTATCATGCCTTGGGGGGTTTTCGTAACAAAGGAATACGACTCTACGTACCTCATCTCCCCAATTACTATTATGTTCCTCTGATCATTCTACTAATGCATATTTAATGACAACTCAATGCATATGTCATAAACTCAAACGACAAGGTATACTGACTTCACATTCTATGATTATTATCAATCGTAGTAGAGCAACGGATATCACCTGTCGATGCATTTATCATTTCACAACTTGGCTATTTTTATTCTATTAACGGGGACTCTACGTATATAAATTTGAATCCACCCATCGATACGCGACGCTACTTACTCTAATGCGGCTCATTAGAGCATGTTCATATATCACTATTCTGTCGGCATCACAGACCAATTCGGCGAGACTCTAATTTAGGGACGAGCCAATCAGAAGCGTTTGAGCAATTTCAATTATTAGCCAATCAGAAGACAGTACAAAGTAAAAATATATTACAGGAAAGTAATGAATTACAGTGGATATTCTTCTTTTACATGATTAAAAAACTTGTTAAGGTTTGATAAAGGTTCAGAAGTTCTGAATTCATAATGCATACGGTATAGAAACTCGTCCATAGGGTTAGGGTTTAGGGTTAAGATTAGGGTTAGGGTTAGGTTAGGATTAAGGTTAGGGTTAGGGTTTAGGGTTAAGGTTAAGGGTGGGGTTAAGTTAGGGTCAGAATGCTAACATGAGATCGTTTTACATCGGATTTTAGGAAAGAGATGTTTATTGAGAGGCTACAACCCTAACCCTAACCTAACCCTAACCTTAACCCTAACCCTATGGACGAATTTCTATACCGTATGCATTATGAATTCAGATCCTCTGAACCTTTATCAAACCTTAACAAGTTTTAAAATCATGTAAAAGAAGAATATCCACTGTAATTCATTACTTATAATATGTTTTCACTTTATACTGTCTTCTGATTGACTAATAATCGTCAACGTCATTTAAGATTAGTTCAAAGGTCGTCCCTAAATTAGAGTCTCGCTACCAATTCCTGTCATATTCTACTATACTTATTTTGACGATTCATTTTATTGTCATACCCACAAACGATTTATTACTGTTTACACGATATTTTGAATCGCTCATACAAACTCGTTTTTTATTGTTCAAACAGTTATAAATGCGTGTTAATTTTTTGTACGCTTATTAATTACCTCATAGCTGCATGCTAACATTTTCATTTTTGTCCGCGCCCTTGCGATATTCACGTATTCTTTCACATAAGTATGACACTTTCGTATAAAACACTTAAACCTCATGTGACACTGTACTTTACTGAATGTAATACAATTTTTTTCGCTACTTAATGTCATCGTTAACCTCATACTTCCTCAATATTATTTTTGAAAACGGGTATTATTTTCAAATGCTCTATTTTCTGTACACTCCGTAAGCAACATTGATTGCTATTTTGTTTTGCATTTTCTTTCCATCATCTTAGTATTTCAGTATCGGTTTTGGCCCACAATTGTGGAAAGCTTTTACTACTTATACAGTGCCTTTAATGTTGGTGCAAAATTTTTATAAGTTGAATTATTCTTTTCACACATTTGTCGTTTATTAATTTGAAGATGCCACAGGTATTCGAAGTTTGACAACGCTTTAACCAGTAACACCTAATATTAATCGTACACACCAAGTGAAATCAAAAGACAGAGGTAAAGAGGTTCAAAGATATATTTGATAGGCTGTCAATATATCGAGAATCGTCTGATCCAATCGGGCTAGCTATTGCAAGGGTTATTAAGCAAGGCGTTCCCACTCATGATTTGATGCGGATGCATGACCGAGCGCCTTCAGTTAGTTTAGTTCATTAAAAGTAATGTGGTCAGCATCCAGTGTCAAAGACTTACAGGGCTCTTTATTTTGAGGATCTATTTACCGCAACATAGTGTCTGGCGTTTTCAAAGATCAAGATTTGATTCACTATAAAAAGCTACTACTAAGATGTTCTATTCTGCTAAAAAAAATTTACAGCGTTAGTTGTCACTTTTAGTTCGAATTTCTGCGGCAGTTGGCTAGGATAATAGTTTTGTCCATGCTAAAATATCAAGTTAATTTTGAGACATATCAAAATTACTGCTGTAGGGAATTTTCATTGTTTGATTTAAAAGCATGTGGAAAAGTAATAGGAAGGATGCTTATCATTTGTTCTTCTGTGCTTCGATGCTCCACTCATTTGAATTTACAAATCCGATAATGGTATCAAAGCCCACGTTAGTTTACATTCTGAGTGAAATCAAAAGTATTACGAAACGTGTATTTTAGCATAATCGTAAAAAGCAGTCAATAATCATCTAACAATAGTTAGATTTGTAATGATTTTCTTACGATCGTAGTTATTCATTATTTTATAAAAGATTTGAACTTTGAGTCGGCTTGGGCCAAAAAATTGCTAAATTCTGATTGCTCCAATCTGCATTTCACTTCATTATTTATCAGTGAACGATGATATCTCACTCTGTACACTGTGTTAAAAAATACACCTAATCAGCGAAATGTTACTTGATTGAAATCTTACTAATGGAACCCATCAGTTTGTTGAGTGGTGAGTTCATCAGGCTGCTTGAACAAGAGACTTTACTGCTATGCGACAAACTTAGTAAATTAAACTCAAATCAAACAACCTATAATCAACTTCACAATTTACTGGAACTGCTGCGTTTCGATTGTACGCCTCCAAAGACCTGAAACCATGTCGTAATTAGGATAATACTTGCTCATATTGGAACATTTTACTCAAAGCCAGGGAAGTGATTTTAAATTCACGCGGCTTCTTCAGGGTAATACAAGGTCGTTCACACGGTTATTTTACTAGGAATTCAGTCATTTATTATTATCGTATAAATATGCGCTCAGATATCATTGAATTGTTTACGTGTAATTTCGTCCACACATTTTTCTTACTAATGGAGGTACATTTAATGACTTGTTAGCTATTCACCGTAAATCCTCGATCTTGAGGTTCAAATTTTGGGATCAAATTGGGTCCCAATTTTGGGGAAAATTTGGGCCATTTTAGGTGAGCCACTATAGTAAGCTTTATGTAAATGGCACCAAACCCCATAATTTCTCCAGACCTGGGGAAATTCCCCTATATTTTCCCAAAATTTCTCTCTAACCTTAATGGAGGTCATTCGACTTTGTGGGTTTCCCCAAAACGTCCCCAAAGTTTGGAGATTAGGTCAATAAAATCTCAATATTCCGTAATCGTGAGGTCTTATAAAGCGGGGAAGCCATATCACCTGGGGTCTGATTTTTACCTGGTTGCATTTTTTAAAATGTCTTCCTAACGATGCTCAGGAAGTGTCCCTCCCACTCACTATAGATACATTAAAGTAAATGGGATACAACTGAAAACCCTCGAGATCAGAGAGCTGACAAATGATATACGCCTAAGTATATTGGCTTCCTGTGAAACTTGGCTTCCAAAATGTACCATCAACAAGGAGCCTTCTCTTCCAGCTTTTCCGTGGCGATTGTTCAATGGTATAACCTTCAGATTATTTATATGGGCGATCACACGGTATCAGATTTTGCCCTACTCTGTCTGACTTTTATCGGTAATAAGTGCAGTTCCACAAGGCACAATCGTTAAAGGACTACTACAAAGAAAAGTTACTTTAAAGGTATCCAAACTAGACGATAAACCCTACTCAGCCCTCTTGGAAGCTCCAAATTTTCAACCTGTAAAGTACAAAATGACCAAAGAGTATATAATTTATTCGTCTTGTAACCTATACTCTCCACACTGACAGTTCACTAGTTGGTTTTAGTGCTAAATTACACCTAAGACAAGTTCCATTTAAAATAGAACATAAAGGAGCTTGCATATAAATCCATGCATACTTTACTTTAGTTAGAACTCTTGAACTATAGAACTCTTAATTATAGGCTATGGTAACAGTCCGTTACGCGGTGTCTTTCAAGAAAGGGCTCGAATTTTGCTTAAGTTCCGTAGGTTCCGAAAGTGACTACTTCGTTACGTTTCGATTACTACCACTACTAATGACTGACAGTTTACTCCTCAGGTAAAACATCTTATAAACGGGACTTCCATTGTCAAGAACACTCACCCAAATATAGATCCAAGAAGACAAGTAATTCCTTAATTCTACCAAGCAATGTTTTAGTTACCTGGTCACTTATTCTAAGTCAACAAATGTTAGTGAGGTGCCATCAAACTGTCTATGCAACAGCGATTTCGTGGTTTGGTTTATGGTTGTTAAATTATCTTGATCCAAGTTATTTACAGAATTCATGGTACTAACATATGGTAACCAAAGTCACCGTGTGTTTACTGGTTAACCAACCAACTTATATGTATTCTAGCGGTGTATTTTTCTACATCAATGTATACTTCAAGTTTACTACCGTATGTTTAGCCAATTTAGTATACCTAAAGTCTAGCTCAACGTCATATTAGAACTTGAAACAATCTACTTCGGTTTGGGTAACCGGGTAGTCTCACTTTCACACATAGAATGTGGCTCATACCTAAGTATGTTGTGGGTGAGTTTACGAAGCCGATTGAAGAATAGTCCTGTAAGGAACTCAAAGCACTAAAATACCGCAAACTATCCTGTATATATTATCTATTCTCAACTGCTCTGATGGCAGTGTTATCCTTTTTGGGTAAACGACTTGTTAGGTTAAAATAGACCTGGCGAACTACGAATACTCTTTTACTTTTTGATAAAGCACTAGAATCACTAAACTTCAAATGTCTGCTCAGCGTATGTGACGATAGTGGTGATCGAGTAGTAAGACTTTATGAATCATGTCTGACTCAAGATTTAAAGGAAGACGGCGAATAAACACGGTCGTACCACTGCTACTGATTCCACATCCAACTGGCGTCATCAGCTGTTGATCACGAGTATTACGAGAGCCTCAACTATAATGTGCACCTACCGACTTGGCTCTGTCGAGTGTGGATTGATACCTCGTAATATTCTGTCCGTCCCTAGCCTCTATATAATTTATACTTATGTTAACCAGCTTTGGGTTTGTATCACATATCTAGACGATCTCGGTACATAGCCTCATCAATCAACCTAAAATTCGTACCTAGTGCCCTGCATCTAACTTCAGTAGTACTCATCGATGGTTTCACCATATGCAAGCATTGTTTTTAAGTCATCTACTATTGAATACCACTCCGTGGATTTTATACATGCATTGATCATATTTTGTAGCCATAAAGTAATACAGGTTTCACTGTTGCTTGATATACTTGTCCTTTGGTTGGTAAACTAATATCTTGCAGTAAGTGACGCAAATTTACAAAACTAGTCATACTTTTTCAATCCATGCCGCGATTTTTTTTCTCACACCAAACTACTAGATTCAGTAAACCCCCAAGTTAAGTAAAAAGTTAGTGCAGTGAACTGATTAACTCCTGGCTACCTATCTAGGAATGATTATGATCAGTATAGAAGCAACACTTTGCATTTAGATGTAGAGGAATATATCTCAAACATCCTTGCATTGTTACTCAAGGCTGTCACAAAGCTATGGGTTGTGTTAGCGTCTTTGCTGATTAGGACTATGTCGTCTGCATATTCTACGTCGACAAGTGATCTTTCTTGTAGAGAACCAATCCTTTAAATTTTCAACGATAAAACGTTATCTTTTAGAGAATATTTATTACAGAATTAAGTAAAAGTATCCCTAACTAATAAGATATAACCAGTTTGATAGCTAATGTGATATGCACGTCCACATTCAGGTCTGAAATCAGCCTGATTCTCGCGGGTTTGAAATGGAAAGTGCTTTCACAACATTTTCAGGAAACCGTATCTACACTTGGGAGCCATTTAAGTAGATGCATTAATATGGATAGTAATAAATTTGTATGACGAAATTCAGAGAGACTTATGCTTATCTGATTTACCGCTGGCCCATTTTACCATTTAAACTTACCTAGAAGTCGAGGGATTTTCACAAAACTTTCAATGTTATATGTCTCACCTCATTTGTAAAGTAAAATCAAGTCAGCGACTCTCGTCTATGTGGATAAACATATCAGTATTTTGTTGTTACAAATTTTACATGTGTCACTATATGTACTTTTTAAAGGTGAATCAAACCAATATCATTACGAGGTAGAATAGACGTTACTAGAACTAAGATATACATTCTAAATCACTGTCACAATTATAATTGCTTATACCAGCTGAATTTTGATTTCGGTTTCAGAAAATCTGCTTTCACTTGTATTGGAGATCCGATTAATGATTTACTTGTGGACTTTTTGTCATAGCTTCACGTAATAAAGTTCTCCAAATGTCGTATGAAAAAGTAACTGGTATGATTCTTGCCCTATTTATTATTGAGTGGATTATTCATTCATTACTCAGTCAATGTAACTCTGTGCGTTTAGCAACTGAAAAATCAGCAATATTGGTTTGAATAATAGTCATTTATTAAACCTTTAGCTTTGAAAAAATTTGTTTAGATAATTAGTGACAAATATGACGTGTTCTTGGCTAAATCAGACTGCCTAACTTCGGATTTTTTTCAAAGTGAGCGAGATTTCTCCTTATTAGGTCACAATCTTTGACTAATATCGACCACCTCTTGGTTTTCACATGGATTTCACGTCTCGTGTAAAGTTTCCTTCTAAAAATGAGCAGCACTTCGTCGAGTAGTGTTTTTCAACCTATATTTCTATTTGGATCTGCTGATTTTAGTTCTTATAGCTACATGAAATATAATTTTTCTCTGGCAATTATCAATTGTTGATCTGTCATAATGACCAACCTCACAAGACTCCGTGACCTAAGCATCCCTGTGTGCATTTGAATAAATCGTGTTTCAACTGTAAATTGCTTCACTAAAAAGACTAGTTTTTATGTATCTGTTAGATGTAAATAAAGTTCGTTACAAAACTAGTTAGGTTATTCTACTCTTTTGGTGAAACAGTGAAAAATACTTTATTTATTGACAGAGACCTGTCTTAGTGAAGGGTAATAACCATTTTATAGCACTGGTGTAATAACGACTAGAAGCTCATAGGCTGATCCAGTATGATGAGTAAAGCTCTTGCAAAATTAGTATAGGTTCTGTTTACCCGGTAGAAAAAATTACATAATGTCGTTCGAATTTGTTCTCGATTTATTAACATCTGTTTTTTTCTCCCTTTGGTTCTCCTTTCTGACATATTTTTCTTGAAAGTAAGTCTTCATTTACTAATAGTTGTCGGATCGATGGTGAATTCTTTATTATTTTTTGTTTAAGTGACTTATATCGTTATTATTTTAAGTGTTTCAACAAAGCTTATTTCTGATGTCGAATATATGTAACATTAATTTATAGATTTAGTTACGAAACTAAAAGTAGTTTGTATTATAATCTGACAACAGTAGTTGCTGAGTAGTGCTTGTATACTCCTTCAAGAATATGCACTCCAGGACTTGTGTACCTGTCATTAAGTATATAGCGTTTAAGCCACTAATTTGAAATATAGTGGTTTAAACTTTTGAACTTCAGTTGATTCGAGTTAGAATAATTGTTCGACTGGATAAGTTTCTTATATTTAAGAACCACCTTTCAAGTGAACTTACATATGGTTTTAGTTTATCATCTTAGCTACGTACTTCAGAAATGCGAATGATCTAAAGATAATCTTGACTAGGAATTGTGACTTAGTAGTTATTTTTATTAGGCTTTAAACTAAATTTGTTTTACGCTAGCTGCAAATACTACTGACGGTAACTAAAAGTAATCTTTGGAAGATGAACTATAATTCGACTTTTACTATAAACTGAAATAAGTCATATTTAATGAACAGATAACACTGATATTTCCATATTGCTTTTAAACGTGTAGTTCCCCTGTGGTTATTTTATTACTGGTCGCTTCCGATCACTCATCTGTTCACCCTTAAATGCCTTGGTACGGTCGAGGATGGGAAGATTTCCCTCTACCTCTCATAGCCACGCGTAAACATCCACTGACAGGAAAGTCCTACTCAGTGCTTTCTCTCACGACGGGTGTTGTTTACGAAATGAAGAGGACAAAAAGCGAATGGCTGATGCTTTAACCGGTTTGGTGGACATGGAGGGTCCACCTAGGGGAGTTGGAATACCTTTCAGTCAGTCAGTCAGTCAGTAACAACGTAGAACTTCGTACGTACGTACATCAGTTCGAGTTACCACACCACCTTAGCACAGAGATGCAGTTGTCGATTCAAATCCCGTAGTGATAGAGGTGATGAGAGTATAAGCAGTGATCGGAAAGATTAGGGTTTAAAGATTTTATTTAAAGAGTATAATCCAGTGAAATAAATTTGGAAAGAGAAAAAAAAGAGACAAGGAGGATTCAGGAAAGTAGGATTTGGGAGAACACAAAGAATGGATTCACCTTCGCCATTACAAACGATTTTGAGCAATGTCATTCAGGGTCTCTAACTATCGGTCGCTATCATCTCGCGGTCCCCAACCAGGTAGTCTACATCTACCAACATGGCTCAGTCCACTTGTCAGTGACTTCATGGTTTTGTGCCATGTTTTGGTCTGGCCGCCCCTAGCTTTCTTCCAACCTACTCCTATACCACTGAACATAGCACGTCGAGGTAGTCGGTCGTTGGGCATACGTAACACGTGTCCCAACCATCTCAACTGATGAAGTTTCACTACCATCAATTGATTTGCCATCCTTACCTAGTACCTGTTTCCTAACAACTGTGTTACTTACTCGATGGTCCCATGATATACGAGCAATATTTCGAAGACACCTATGATCGAATAATAGTAACCTACGGATATCCTCTACTCTTACCGGCCATGTTTCACTGGCATAAAGTAGGACGGAACGAACTGCTGCGCAGTAAACACGTCCTTTGGTTGATAGACGGATATCTCGCCTACGCCATAAATGACGCAAGTTGGCAAAAGCTGGTCGAGCCTTCTGTATCCGTGCTGAGATTTCGTCACACACCAAACCACAAAGGCTGATGAGACTTCCAAGATAAGTGAAGCGGTCGACACACTCAACTACTTCACTCCCTATCACTAGTTCGGGTGTCGATGTAACCCAATCCTGAAGCAACATTTTGCATTTCGAGGGGGAGAATAGCATCCTAAACATGCTTGCATTGTTGCTTATAGTGGTCAGAAAGGCTCTGCATTTTGTCAGCGTCTTCACCAAATAAAACTATGTCATCTGCATATTCTAAGTCAACAAGTGAACCTCCCGGTAGAAGTTCAACCCCTGGAAATTTAGATGAGGAGAGTGTTATCTCTAAAAGTACGTCAATGACAAAGTTGAACAAGAATGGTGAGAGTGGACAGCCCTGACGAACACCACTTGAGGTAATCAATTCTGATGACAGTTCGCCATAAGCTCTCACTCTACCAGTTGTGTTCGAGTAGAGAGCCTTTATAAGGTTAATGTACTTCTTTGGTACTCCTTTCAGTGACAAACACTGCCATAGAACCTTACGATCAACAGAGTCGAATGCCGTCTTAAGGTCGAGAAATACTACCATTGTGGGGCGTCTGAATGTGTGTCTGTGTTCTAGAACCTGACGTAGTGTGAATATCTGATCTATACAACCACGTCCAGGTCGAAAACCGGCCTGGTTTTCTCTAATCTGCTCTTCACGAGCTTTGATTAGGCGTCGAAGTATTATTGAAGCTAATATTTTAGACACTATATTGGTCAAACTGATTCCTCTGTGATTGTCACAAGAGTACTTTTGTCCTTTCTTATAGACTGGCACAACCAGTGATTGAGACCAGTCAGATGGGATTACGTTCAGTTCCCAAATTCTACCTAAGACCTCGGTTAATCTCATTGCTAATACTGGACCACCATCCTTAAAAATCTCAGGAGTAAACCTGTCAGGGCCTGCTGCTCTCCCTCGTTTCAGATTTCCTATGGCTTTTTCAACTTCGTAAAAAGTCGGAGGACCTACATTAACTTGCCATTCAGGTTGACTAGAGATCGTGGGAAACCGAAGTGTGGCTGAAGGCCAGTTGAACTGATCCCTAAAGTGTTCTGCCCATCGATCCAATCTCCTGGATTGAGAATGAATAATATGTCCATCTTTCTCTGAGATTGTTTCGCTAATGGTCGGGTTCCTAATTCCGGTTTCCCTAACGAGTCTGAACAATTGTCTGCTATTACCTATTGCCGCTGCCTTTTCCATCTCTCTTGCTTTCGCTACCCACCACTGTTCGCGATCATTGCGTAGGCTTCTGGTCAGCTTGCGCTTAAGCTGACTCCGCTCTTCATTATGTTCAGAGCCAGGTGGAATGAGTTTCCGAGCATCTATCAGTGCGATAGATGCTGCTGAGATCCAGTGTTGCTCCCTAACCTTCTGGTTTACCTTACTAGCAGATATCACTGCTGTTTCCACAGCTTTTCGGATATCATTCCATACTGCCTCGGGGTGGGCATCACCTACATGGCTGCCTAACTGTTTTCCTAGTTGTTCCTGAAATATACTCTTAGCTTGACTATCATTAAGTAGGCCCCTAAGAGGTTTCCTTGCAGCGTCTTTCCTACGTCCAGTAAGACGCAAGCAAATACGCGTTCGCACTAGAGCATGATCTGAATCTAAGCATGTGCTCCAGAATGAGCGACAGTCTTCTATCGAGCCCCTCCATCGGTGGCTGATAGCGACGTGATCTATTTGGGTCCAACGTTGGGACGAATTAGGGGGTCGCCATGTTAAAAGGTGTTTTTCCTTATGCTTAAAGTTAGTATTTGCAAGGAACAGGCGGTTATCTGAGCATAGCTGCAACAGACGGTCGCCATTATCTGTTCTTTGAGCCACGACACCATAAGATCCACCTAGGTGTCTTTCCCTATCGCTTAGTTTACCTACTTGAGCATTAAAGTCACCGGCCACTATTACTACATCAGAGCGCCTAGCTTTTCGGAGAAGGTCGGAAAGCTTTCTGTAAAACTCATCTTTTACATCATCTGAGCTGCAGTCAGTGGGAGAATAGGCAGAGACGACGAAAAGGCAACGACGAGTGTCCCTATCTTTCCGGATTCTTACTGTTCCGTTCAGTCGGACAGCGCACAAACGACTGTCTACTGAGATCCACTCTAAGAGAGCTAGTTCTGCCCTAGGACTCAATGCTATACCTACGTCGGCGAGGCCACGGGAAGCAGAATCAGGGCTTCCAGATACACGAAGCGTAAATCGAGTCGGTTCTTTATTTTGGCATGGTGAGGTCAAATGAATGACGCTACTTGGATCCTGTATGCGGGTTTCGGAGACGCAGCACACATCGATGGCGCGAGATTCTAAAGTTTTGGGTAAGGAAGCCTGCTGTCCTATTTGGCAAAGTGTTCGTACGTTAAAAGCTCCTACGTATAGTTTAGAGCGTGGTTTCAGGAGACCAGGAATGGCGTTCCACTTACTCGAATCGTTTGCCCTAGCGGTGCGAGGTGATAAAGAGACGTGAGGAGGGTTAGTCATGGAGATAAGAGAGGTATTAGGAGGTGTAGGAAGGATTTGAATGTGACCAACTTGGTCTCGTGTGCTGTTACGGGTATGAGGGCTGATGTCACTTCCCGGCTGCCCACACCGTGGAAGGGTATTTCTTGAGGAACCTGAAAAGGAAATTGGATTAGTGTTGGTCTTGACGACCTGGGAGCGTGACCGCAGAGCCCAAGGGACAACTGCTTGAGGCCGGTCGCGCACGGCCTTTTCGTGGAAGGTTTTTAATGTGTTAGCTCCGTTCTTCAAAGGGCCTTACCGCCGGAGACAGAAATCCGTGAGGTAAGGTGAGGTGTGACATTTTTAGGGTCGACCTTTTCTAACCCCACCCTTCCTTGTGGGAAGGCAGCATCGCTGTCATGCTGGTTGTCCGAGAGAAACACCTTACTGCTGTCACACCTCTGTACAGTCAGCTGTACGACTTCGCCCTCAGACCTTGAGTTGCTGCTTTTAGTCTTACCGTTCACCAATCGACCTGCCTGGCATGGTAGAACCTACAGGAACACATGTTCCAGCCAATATAGCTCGGTTGGGTCATCACGATAAGCAAGCTTGACCACCGCGTCAAGGTAGCAGCTCCGGTCGGGTGGAATACCCTTATTCCAGACCAATCGTGCACATGTGTTCCAGTATCCTGAAGGAACAAATGACATATAAACCTATTGTTGGTCATCGGCTACCATGGTACTGCATCTCCTAACGTTGCTCCACTGCCTTGTGGATCAGACCTTGAGGTAGAAGGCTCCAGATATGTCTCCCTAAGAAAATCACCTGCTTCGGTTTGAGCACCTGGGCATTATTCCAGCCCTCACACAAATCGAGTGATTTATGTGGCGCATATCTATTTGGTGCCTCCTTGTACCAATGTTTATGTGCTTAAATAAATAAATTCCTACATCCTCCTACTCCTGAATCCAACGGTCTAGTTATACTTTTTGTTTCGGAGTTTCTTTTGAAGTTGACTTCCGTTGCTTACAAGTATTGCATTACTTTAGTCATCTCTAGTATCACTTTGCGATACCTATAGTCTTACAAGTGAAAATATGCACTGTTATGTTGCTAAATCGTTTGATGACTTCTTTTAGTGAATTATTCCCGGTCTTTTTCAGGTCTGCGTTTGTCTGTGGCAGTTCTCACTGTCAGCGACACATGCTCCAAGGATATTTTACTCGATCAAAGTGGCCCAGTTGCTGAAAGTTTACTCCAGGAGGCAGGATTTAACGTCCCGTTAAAAGATTGTGTCCCGGATGACCCACATATTATTCGTCGCGTAATTATGAAATGGGTAGCTTCTCGTCAAGTAGAAGCCGTACTTACGCTAGGGGGTACAGGTCTGTCTAGAAGGGATGTTACTTCGGATATAATTATTGAGTTAGTTTCCCAAAATCAACGTCTACATGGTATTGAGCACTCTCTTTATTCTATTTCACTTCAAAATACCCCGATGGGTGCTTTATCGCGATTTGTAGCTGGAGTATGTAATGAAACTCTACTAATAACCTTACCAGGTAGTACACGCGCAGTTTCTCAGTGTATCCCAGTTATTCTTCCAGTAATGAAACATGCTATCCAGCAAATCAAAGGTTGGGATCATCTTGTAAAATTAGAACATCCCATTCAGTATAATCTGGATAAAAGTATATTAGAACGCGAATATCCTGTCGTTAGTCGTTGTAGACATTCTAAATATCCAATGATATCAGTTGATGAAGCACTTGAAAAGATATTCGCCGTGTGCAGTTTTGAGATGGGGATTGAAGCAGTGTTTCATAAAAATGCTTTAGGTCGTGTTCTTGGTCGAAGTTTAAAGTCACGTCAGTGCATTCCTCCTGTTGATGCGAGCATGATGGACGGATATGCTGTTCGATTTATGGATGGTGCTAGTCAACTAAAAGTTGTTGGTGCGTCGTATGGTGGGGATCATATGTGTGCAGGTAGAGAGTTAGTTGTTACTCCAGGCACATGTGTTCGTGTTAGTACTGGCAGCCCTATTCCCTCTGGAGCTGATTGCGTTGTTCCAATAGAGAACACCAAACTTATCTCTAAACGAAAAGGTGGACCTGTAGATCTTTATTTAGAAGAGGAAGACACGATTGAAGTGACTATTCCACCTGGAAGTATTGGGCAGTTCATTCGTCCAGCTGGTGTCGATTTAGACATGAACTTTGTTTTTAGGCGAGGACTGCGCCTTGGTTCAACGGAGTTAGGGTTGATTTCCGGTGCAGGTTTGCTAACACCTTGGCCATCTAATCATGCAGATTATGTCAAGGCAAATGAAGGTCCAATTCCTTACGCGGTTTTAGATCGTCTTTTGCAAGGCGGATACCTACCCTGTCTAGAGCAATGTCGCATTGGTGTCTTATCGACTGGAAATGAGGTTTTAGATTGTGTTGTTTCTGAAACAAAGCCTTTTGTGAGAGACAGTAACCGCCCTGTTTTAATCAACCTACTGCACAAACATAATTATTTCAATGTTGTAGATTGTGGGATTTTAACCGATGATCGAAAATCCTTAAGAATGGGCTTGTCCAGGGCTTTAACCTTGTGTGATATTCTTATCACAACAGGCGGCGTAAGCATGGGTGAACGTGATATGGTTAGTAAGATACTAATCGAAGATTTTAATGCAACTCTCCACTTCGCTCGAGTGTTTATGAAACCAGGGAAACCAACAACGTTCTTATCTATACCTCATCATGATAATTCAGCCATCGCCGCTTCTACTACCACTAAACCAAAGCCTGTGTTAGCATTTTGCCTACCAGGTAATCCTGTGTCATGTTATGTAACAGCGCATCTATTTGTTTTGCCCTTATTAAGGAAGTTGGACTTACGACCTCTTGAAGAATGGTGCTTTCCAAGTATTCATGTACGGTTGTTACATTCTGTTAAACTGAGTGATCGTCCAGATTACAGACGTGCCAGATTAGTTTGGAAAGAGAATTCAGAATATAACCAACCTTCCGTACCTTGTGCATCTTGTGATATGATGGAGAATCAAATGAGTTCTTGCTTAGCTAGTTGTCTTAATTCTAATTTGTTACTGGTACTACCTCCCATTGTTAATGACGGACCACAGGAACTTCCTGTTGATTCTGTTGTTAATGCTTTAGTTATTGATTCGATATTTTAAAGTTGAACGCTTCACATTGAATAGACCTATCACTTAACTAAATTATAATCTGACTACTGTTGTTTATTTTCGTGATTAAGAATAAAATATTTGTTGAGCAAGTGAGAGCTTTTATTTGCAATTTTGCGTTATGTTGACTCGGGTACTCATCAACTTCAATTCGTGGTAGTAGACGTCACTCAAATGAATTGATTTAAGACTTACTAATTATATGAAGTAATTTGGACAGAGAGCCGACATTACAAATTGATTTATGTTTTATATTTGAATGTAAGCAATATTTATCTTAACAGTCTACCTCTGTCAAATTTTCCTCAGGTCAATTTATGTTCCTCATTTGAATTTATTCAACACAAGAATTCTTCAACTTCGTGTTTTAATAGTTGAATTTATTAGTCAATTGAAGCTAGACCACCATAGAAAACCTGGGAGCACTGGACGGCCGTTTCGTCCTAGTATGGGATTCCTCGGCAGTGCGCATCCACGATCCCCTTTCCATGTTTTCCATGGTGGTCTAGCTTCAATTGACTCATGAATTCAACTATTAAATTACTATATTATCCACAAAACCCCTCTGGACTTCGTGTTTGTTGAAATAGATCTAAAGAAAAGGATTCTCTGCTTTTTGTTTAGACAAGTCAAAACATGAGTTTATAAAACTATTCAATTGCATTCTGGAATGCATATCTATTTGAGGTGGTTGGTTTTCATATGAAAATAGGTAACAGAAATTTATTTTCCGAAACATTAAGTAGCGTGACCATTTCAGCGTACTCCACTTACCTTTAAATTAGTATATTCTCGTACTTATCAACCCGAGTAATTAATTTTCTTATCTCTTAATACTGAGTAATGGTTTAGCAATGTTGAATAAGTAAAAGTGAGACTTCGCAGTGTGGTCCGTCGTATGAATTCCGGATGATTTTGACGGTTTTCCCAGTTACACCATAAAGTCGAAGTAGGTTCCATAATATTCTCCTATCCATACCGTCAAACGCTTTCTCATAGTCAATGAATTTGATGTATAGTGACGAATTCCATTCAATGGATTGTTGAACGATGACCCGTAGTGTTGCGATTTGGTTTGTGGACGACTGATCCTTATGGAATCCGACCTGTTGATCTCGGAGCTAAGTGTGCACTGAATCATTCATCTGGTTCAGCAACACTGTTGGAACCGCTTGCTGGCACGAATGGTAGTAGGATGCCTCTATAGTTCTCACACATACTGAGATTTCCTTTCTTTGGTATCTTGATGAGGTATTCTTCTTTCCATTCTATAGGCATTTGTTGCTCCTAAATCTTTCAGAATAGGATGTGAAGCATGTTTTCAGTTACTTCAATATCTGACTTCAGTGCTACAGCCGATATGTTGTCAGGTTCTACTGCTTTTCCACAGTTGATCTGTCTGCCATCCTGATTTTTTCTATTGTTGATGGAGTGGCAACCATAGGAATGTGCGTGTGTGCTTCTTCGATGTCTGGTGGGTTCAGCGGGACTGGTCTATTCAAGGGTTCTTTAGAGTGCTCTCAGGTTTCCCTTCACTTGCAACTCTCTCCACTCTCGTCGCTAGATGTTCTACATACTTCCGTTCATCAGTTCTGATGCTGCTCTTCACTCGCTTGTTTGCCTGTGAATTTGGCTTCTGTCTTGACCTTCTCTACTATTGTTTGGTTGTTGTCGACTGGCATCTTCCTGTTCTTACTTTCTTGAATCGTGCGTAGGATGTCAACAGAAATCCACCCTTTATGACGGTGCTTCTTGCGACGCAGCACCTTCTGGTATGTTCAAGTTACTACTTTTTATTATCCATTTCCATTTGTTTCCATAGTAGTTTACTCTTTTAGTGGGACTTATTGGTAGGATTTATGTTGACTTCATATGTCAGTATCTCAAAGGAAGGCTGTATTAATCTTTTGTGATACTGTTTATCCAGTGTTTCTTTAGCTTTAGTTTCATCTTTGCAGCTATCAGTTAGTGATCTGAAGCCATATCAGCTCCTCTGTTTTTTTTCTTACGACAATGGTAACACATATAACTATTTTGTCGAAAGCCCACAAATTTGTAAATCTCACAGTTTTCGTCCTTTTCTCCCAGTCCTTGTTATCCCTCGATATCGTCATACTCTGTATTGTCCATTTTGACCTTGGCGTTTAGGTCTTCCATCAGGACGGTTCGGTCCTTTTCTGGGTATTTCTCTACAATGGACTACAACTTCTTACAAAACAAATATTCACCATTCCCCCTGATATCAATGGTGGGCGCATGGTTGTGGATGACATTGCTATCCATGTTTTCTTTGCTTACAAGGGTGCTTTGATAATACTGGATTTATGAGATTCCCACCTTATAAATGCTTTCTGCACATCTTTAAATAGCATCAGTGCAACTCCTTGTGTGTGCGAAACATTTTATTCTTCATGACCAGAATACAGTATCACTTCTCTCGAGTTTTGATGTGGGTAAGGTATTGGTACTAAGTTAAATCCTATAAAAGACAAAAGAAACCCGTCTCTTTCAAAACGGAACGTAATCACTATTCATGAAGATACCGTTTTTCCAATGTTGTACTCGTTTGCAGAAAACCTGCAGGGTGAAATTATATAACTGGTGAGACAGGTTCTGTTAAAGTATCCAAAATGTCATGATACTTTGCGACTACTATTATTTCTTGCCGTTATGAAAATAGCAAATTGGTATTATGTTTCTTCATAAATATTTTGATCGATTGATAAAAGTCTTTGTCGTTTACGTTGTTAAACAATTGTGCTGACACCTTGACTCTAAACTAAATCGACTTTAAATTAATCTAGCAAGAAATATACTACTGGGAACGATTTCTCATATAACTACTTGATCAACAGTTGAGACAACGGATTTCGACTAAATACATTCGGAATTATTCTCTATTGCATACCAACATCGTTCTAATTTTCAACAGACAAGATGAAGGGAGAGGTGTCAGATCCTAAAATTTATTAACCTTAGATCAATATTTTAATTTGTGCAATCGTTTATGTTCAGAAAATTATAATCTACTGAGTTATTTGGTATTTAATAATTCCATTCAGTTTCTAAAGATTGCCTCTTAACTGGTTCATCTAGAAATTGTATTGTTCTTTCAGTTGAATGGCTTGCTTCTTAACTGTGGTTCCCAAAACAACTGAAGTGAGATCATGGAAATTTCAGGGTAAATAAACCGTACACCCTTTTAAAATACTTTCTCGACACACTTGTCCTATGTCTTTTTCTATTTCAAGCATCTTCATGTATCAGGTTTTTCAAATGCCTCATCGTTTCACATCTTGGTAGAATCATGTCAAGAAACGATTTGACCAAATTTAATTCGTCGGCAGTTACCGGGAAGGTCACTCACGGATTCCAAAATACAAGGGACCGTACATATTTGATCTAACCGATACAGGAGGTTGAAAGTAGTTTTGGCTTTGAATTTTCCTATCACCATTATTTAAGTCTACTTAATTCAAATGATGAAATTTCACATTAATTATCATAATCATTCTAACTGATATGTTTGCTTTAAAATGGAAATAATGTTATTTCAGTTTAACAATCAGATTAGAGTTTAGATAAAAAAGGATGAATATTTCCGTTCCCAATATTCCTTTTAATTTTAGTGACAAATATTTTGATGCTATTTGGGAACCATTATTAATGCCATTTGATTATGAATTATCACTGAATTCTCATTAAATATTGACTTTCAAGTAGCGAATCAACTATTATTACTCTCAGTCGTCCTATCATTATTATGATCTTTTTCGAAATCTTCAAAATCCAACGAATGGTTCTTGAATTCGTACTGTGGATTAGCATTTTTCATGCCGTGAATTTTCAAAATAGTTTTCATTCGAAATGATTATTCTTTTCTTTATTTGAACACATAAATATTGTTACAAAGGGGCATTGACTACATATACGCCACACAAGTCACTTGATTGGTGTGAGGGATACGGTACTCCCCAGGTGCTCAAACCAAAGCAGGTGATTTCCTTAAGGAGCCACATCCGGAGCCTTCGACCTATAGGTCTGATCCACAAGGTAGTGGAGAAACGTTAGGAGATGCAGTAACATGGTAGCCGGTGACTAACGATTTGTTCGTATGCCATTTGTTCCTCCAGGATCCTGGACCACATGTGCACGATTGGTTTGGAATAAGGGTTTTCCAACCCCACTATTTGGACCCTCCGTGTCCACCAACCCGCTTAGAGCGTTGGACATTCGCTTTTTGTCCTATTGACTTCGTAAAAAACACCTGTGGTGCGAGAAGGCAGTGAGTAGGACTTTTCTGTCAGTGGTTGTATATGCGTGGCCATTTGAGACCATCATAAGTCATTTACTTCCACTTTCAAATTGATCTAAAAATCATATCAGTACTTCACTTCCTTTTAGTCGCATTCCAACGATCGAATTGTTCTATAGAATTGTCTTTGTCTAAATAATCTGAACGGATATATAAGACCACAAAATATTTTGAATTCGACGATTTTTTTCCACTTTATCAATTCTCACTCATCACTTTGATTAATAGTAAAAATATTCAACAGTAATATCTAAGTTTAGGTTTCCTTCTGAAAACTTCATCATACTGATACCTAAAATAAAACATTTTTTCTTTTTCATATTTCAGAAAACACATAGTATGATATGAGGCCAAAACTTCCAAAAACTATTTCAGCATGGCAGCTGATGAGCTTTCTACCACCTGGTGCAGCAGACATCACATCTGAATTACACTTCACAAGGACTAGACGTATGCCCAATATAACTCGTCCAGACCAATTACTTATTAAGGTTAAAGCGGCATCCTTAAATCCTGTCGATTCTTTGCTTGTCTATGGTTATGGTTCTTCTAGCTTTAATTTATTACGTCGCTTTACATCAAACTATGGTTGCTTTGGTCTACCTGATGCCACAACAGCAGAAAATGCTGATTTTCCTTTTACACCTGGTCGTGATTTTTCTGGTCAAATAGTTGACATCGGTTCAGAAGTTGCTTTATCCAACCTAAACAGGCAAAATAAACTTATTATTGGTACAAATGTGGTTGGTGCTACATGGCCTTTTCTCAGTACTACTGGATCTGGTTCATTAGCTGAATATATTGTCTGTCCAGCCGATTATGTTGCTCCATTACCTAGTAATGTTTCTTTCATATCTGCAGCTGCATTAGGATATGCTGGTTTAACTGCATGGTCAGCTTTAGTTGATGCCGGTGGAATCGACCCTGTTAGTAAGTCATCACCATCAGCTTGTTCAATTCTTATAACTGGCGCCACTGGTGGTGTTGGCTTTATTGCAGCACAATTGGCTAAACTTTGGGGTTGGAAAGTTCATGTCACATGTCCAAGTGATAAAAAGGCATTAGATTTAATGAATGTTTTACAAGTTGATGAAGTAAGTAGTAAATAATTTGTATTCTTATCATGTTTTAAATAGTCGAATTTTGAGTTTGATATATCAATAATCAACATAACTTATGGTTCAACGCCGTTCACACTAACCTGCAAATTTCATTAAACGGACGAAACTAAAATTAAACACGAGATAATCATTTCTTACAGTCCAAATGTACTTTCAAGTTTCCTTCAATCTAACCCATTAAATTTGAGTGCTGATAAAAATATGACTATCCATACTAAGTTTTACTGGATACTTCACTGATAAGCCCGACCGAATTCAATTAAAGTAAATGTCCGGTGTGTGTGGCGCATATATATTGGCGCTCTCTTGTACCAATATTCATGTGTTCAAATAAATAAATAAGAAAACAACCGGTGTTTAAGTGCATTTTGATCAGTTTAATAAAATCAGCATGAAGCATATCATACTACTGGTCTCGTAGTTTGGTTGTAAGCATTGCGTTCTTTCGTGTCAGTAATCACATTACTCAAACTTTAACATTACACATGTATAGTTGATGTCAGATTTTCAAATGTCCTGGTACGGTCGAGGTTGGAGAGAGTTCGTTTTCCCCTTCGAAATGCTCTCAAATGGCCACGCATATACAACCACTGACAGAAAAGTCCTACTCACTGCCTTCTCGCACCACAGGTGTTTTTTACGAAGTCAATAGGACAAAAAGCGAATGTCCAACGCTCTAAGCGGGTTGGTGGACACGGAGGGTCCAAATAGTGGGGTTGGAAAACCCTTATTCCAAACCAATCGTGCACATGTGGTCCAGGATCCTGGAGGAACAAATGGCATATAAACCTATTGTTGGTCATCGGCTACCATGTTACTGCATCTCCTAACGTTTCTCCACTGCCTTGTGGATCAAACCTATAGGTCGAAGGCTCTGGGTGTGACCTCCTAAGAAAATCACCTGCTCCGTTCTGGGCACCCTGGTAGTATCACATCCCACACACAAATAAAATGAAATGGCAATAATTACTGGAAATACTGTTCTTGCTCCAAATAATATTCAGACAACTCACATTCATTTGATAACATACATTTTTATTTTTTCATATACTATGTCACTTTATATACTCACTTTTATTCCCACTTTGTGTATCCTTATTTTCCAACTTAAACAGCCACTCGCTATGTTGAAAACCCTGTCCTATCTAAACGACCTCAAGTCACTGACTGGTCGAATGCGGAATACTACCACCGAATACAAATACTGAAACAGATTTTCTGTGATCAACTATACCACTCATACTGGCTTCCTTCAACGATCGCACACTAATGCAGATCGAACAATAGATAGTGTTGATTACATCTTCAGAGAGCCTTAATATTGACATCTGTTGTCTGTCCGAGTCCCTTATTCAATGCTCTAGTGAAGTACTATAAATTCGCTCCCCATCTGTCGCTTCAAAAAGCTTGTTTTACGTGCGTTTATCCAGGGACCCTGTGGCATCTTCGTGAATTCGATGAATTCTACCATCAGTTAACTGTTTTTCTCCAGAAAGTGCGTTCGACAGATATTGTAGTACTAGCCGGAGACTTGAATGCTCAGGTCGGGCGTCTAGGCACAGAAGAGAGTCGTTTAGGTGGCCGATGAGGACTCGTTGGTCGCAGGTCAGATAACGGGGACCGTCTACTGCAACTATGCACAGACCACAACCTGTTTCTGGCTAGCACTAACTTTCGGCACAGTCATCGTCGATGTGCCACCTGGCGTCCTCCCTCTGCATCTCAAGCCTGGACTCAGATTGATCACATCGCGATCAGCTACCGCGGGGGTGGTTGTGTACAAGACTGCCACTCCTTTTGGAGTACCTATCTGGACTCTGACCATGCCTTGGTCTGCGCCAATCTTGCCTGACTTTTCAGTGGCCAACGAAGTGACCACCACCAAAGGATTGATATCAGCAAATTGGTTGCAACTTCTGTTACAACTAAGTATCCAACCTAGCTAGCTACCATTCCACCGAAAAGTATAGATGAGCATTGGTTGGAATTACATGACGCCAGTCAGTTGTGAGTTCGCAAAACGCTCCGCTTATAAGCACTGAGTTTCTTCAGACTCCTGACAACTCATTGAAGCCCGTCGGTCTACTCCGGGTAACCGTGAGTTTGACCATAAACGAAGGATGTTACGTAAGGAAATTGGGCAAAGCTTGCGTAAGGACCGAGAAACCTGGTGATCGGAGAGCGCTAATGAGCTGGAAGCAGCAGCTGCACCTGGTAACTGCCGGAAGCTCTTCCAACTCATCCGAGCCACTGGCAGCAAGAAGTCTGGTGTGGGCGAAACAATCTGCGATGATGTCGGGATGCCAGTCACTAACATCCATCGACGTCTTGGACGATGAGCAGAATTTTTCGAAGGGCAGTTCAACTGGCCTGCTGCTCCGGCAACATCGGTCAGACTGTCCTGCCCTCCATGGCCGGTGACGACTGATCCACCAAATGAGGCGGAAGTCCGCAAGGAACTCCAACTCTTGAGGCGATACAAATCACCTGGCCCAGATGACTTACCTCCGGCTCTTTTTAAAGATGGTGGTGACTTTCTGACTAAGGAACTGACGACATTGTTTACAAAGGTTTGGGAACTAGAGAGTGTACCAACGTCATGGAATGAGTCGATAGTTGTCCCTATCTTTAAAAAGAGTTCACGTCGTTCCTGTAACAACTATCGGGGGATAAGTCTACTTCTGATTGCGTCCAAGCTATTGGCTTCCGTCATACTTCGTAGGTTGTTCAAAACTCGAGAAAAATTGACTCGCGAGGAGCAGGCTGGGTTTCGTTCCGGTCGAGGATGTATTGATCATATCTTCACCCTCCGCCAAATGTTAGAACACCGCCATACTTATCAAAGGCCAACAATCGTAGTATCTCTTGACATCAGGGCTGCCTTCGATTCGTTGTATAGGACTGTTCTCTAGGATTGTCTATTGAAGAAGGGTGTGCTTGAGAAGTTTATTAACATCCTAAAGGCCCTATATACAAACACTTCGGGTAGAGTGAAGGCATACAACCACCTCTCTCAATTGTTCCATTCAAGCAGTGGGGTTAGACAGGGTTGCCCAATCTAACCATTCTTCTTCAATTTTGCCATCGATGACATTCTGGAAACAGCTCTGATTTATGTAAGTGATGGCGGTGTGGATCTGTTGCCTGAAGAAAGACTTCTCGACCTTGAGTATGCGGATGATATTGTCTTACTGTGCGATAATGCCCAAGGCATGCAATCCACACTTAATCGGTTGACAATCAGTGTCCGTAAGTATGGGTATGTGCTTTTCACCTTCGAAGTGCAAAGTACTTCGACAAGACTGGCAGGATTCTAATCTTGTACTCACCCTGGATGGTGAGCAGATAGACGTAGTCGAGAAGTTCGTGTATCTGGGTAGCTGCATAATTGCTGGTGGTGGCGTGAGTGATGAGATCAATGCACGAATAGTGAAAGCCAGAGCGACTTATGCCAATATGGGCCACCTTTGGCGCCTTCGTGATGTTAGTCTGGCTGTAAAAGGTCGGATCTACAACGCGTCAGTGAGAGCAGTTTTGCTCTATGCTTGTGAAACCTGGCCTCTTGAGTTGAGGACGTTAGACGACTCTCTGTGTTCGATCATCGCTGACATCCAGTGGCAACAACATGTTAGTAATGCAGAGGTTCGGCATCGTGTGTTCGGGTGCACAGACGATAATCCAATTGGTGTCACCATCTTGAAACACCGACTTCGGTGGCCTGGACATGTTCTACGAATGTCGTCCCAGAGAATTCCACGTCGTGCATTATTTGCCGACTCTGGGACTGGTTGGAAAAAGCGGAGAGGTGGTCAGTGCATGACATGGTGTCGTGGCATGAAAGAAAGCTGCAAAGGACTGGCTTCTATTGGTCCTTCACTACTCCCTGGTTGATATCCCAAAGGTATCACAACAGTGACTACAGATGTTCGGAATAGAAGCTAGTGGCGATCTTTCTGTAACTTTCTTCATGAAAGCAAACGTAACTTCTTCAATTGAAAGAATTATTTGTGATTGTATATTTCATAGCTGAACTATTTCTCTCATTGTTATTATTATTTCTGGACGATAGCAATAAACACCAGATAATTTAAATTTCTATGAAATGAACATGTAACTTGTTCTTCTTGACTAGAAATAATGGTTGTAGTTAGATATTTGAATTGATTCAAATAACTAGATTGGATTGAATAAATTTACTTCTAATATCATTATTGTATATACTTTAAATTTAATAGATTTCCCATTTTTATATTTTAGATATTTCCACATCCAACAAATATTCAAACAACAATGAAATATGATTTAATTCTTGATTGTATTCGACCGGATTATTTGAATACAACAACTTCATTCACCACATCATCATCATCATCATCGTCGTCGTCGAATACACAATTGAAACAATGTCATTTCATTGATCATTTATTACCTCAACTACCATCTATGTTAACTTATTTAAATACATCATCAAATCGTACACGTTATATTATGCTTAATCCACCATTATTATATTTAAATGATTATTATGGACCATTTATTGGTAGTGGAATAGCATATTCACAATTATTGTATAGTAATATTGCAGCATTATTCTCTAACAATAATGTTTATAATACTAATTTAAATAAAATACGTTGGGTATTTTTTAAACCAAATAATAAAGTATTAAATTATCTTTTAAATTTACTTTCAAATAAACAATTAATAATACCAGTGGATACTGTTTATCAATTTAATCATGTACCAGATGCATTTCATCGATTGTATACTAAAGGAAAACGTGGTAAACTTGTAATTGAAGTGAATAATTAATAAATAATCTTTCTTTTACAATAATTTAACTTTTTATTTTGGAATAAAAGGCCTAGGATAAGAATGGGTTAGAGAATGCTGGTCGGCGGCCTATGCTCCATTAGGAGTAACAGGCGTAGGTAAGTAAGTAATAGTTTAACCTGACACATACTGGAAATTCAAGATATAATACTATTAGTTACACGATCGTGTTTGAGACTGATAGTTTAGTGAACCAAAACATCAGTGGGGATAATCGAATGTATTTGAGCAGAAAATTACAGAGCATCTTAAATAAAATCTGAGAACCATATAGTAAGTCGTTAATTTCCAAAATATCAAACTTGACTGTTCCTGTTGCAAACATCAATCTGTTGTCTCATATTTCACTGTTCATGCGTTTTCATCACGAATTGTATCCGTTCCCGTTCTTTCCTCATCGACCTTCTACTGAAATACATTCTATGACTGACCGTCGTTATATACTACTTGTGTGGATATAAGTAATCCACACCACAATATATCCTGGGTTCGAATCTCGCGGGATGGTGGATGCGCACTGCTGAGAAGTCACACAATAGGACGATATGGCCGTCCAGTGCTTCCAGGTTTTCCATGGTGGTCTAGCTTCAATTGACTCATGATTTCAACTATTGAAATAAGCTATTGTGACGAGATTATAATTTATGGACGAGTCAATTAGAAGGGTTTGTGGGAGTTCAAGGTCACGACGCCCATCTCAGTTCCTAATGCTCATGTACGATCAGTTTAGAGTAGATTTTATAGAAGACGTGATCATTGAGGGGCTATAACAAATGGGACTACTTAGAATTTTCTTTATTTGTGACTGTTGTACCGTGTGCAGACTACCGTGATGAGATTGTCTTTCGATGTTATTCATGTTTGAGGAAGAAGTTTGCTCGAACAGGAACTTTCTTCGCTCGATCCCAATTGAGACTAAGGAAAATCATGATGATTGTTGCAAATTGGATAATAAAATCACCAGTGACACTGGCTGCAACATTTGCAGATGTTATTGAAGCTTCAGCTGTTCAGTTGTATGAGTATTCTAGAGATATATGTGCAATAAAAATGAAAAGTTTGGAGGAGTTCGCAGAATCGTTGAAACAGTAGTGAGGAGGCAAAGATTTAACAGAGGACGTAGTATTAAGGAAGACTGGGTAAGTAGCACTTCCATAAATATATCTCACAAGTACTTGGAATTTACGACAGATCAACCCAAAAGGGACACTTCCAAAGGGTCAGAAACCGACAATAATACCAACTATACGGGATTACGTGCAACCGGCTACTACAATACATTCGGATGATTGAAGAGCCTACCAATGCCTGCATATACTTGGTTATATGCATCATGTCATTGTCCACAATCACCATTTTTTGGACTCTACAACAAGAGTGCACACTAACAATATTGAAGCTATGTTGTCGAGGCTAAAGTAGTTTCTACGACCCTATCATGGAGACATATGGAGGAGTTCCTCTACCTTATGCAATACGATTTCAGAACCTCTTTCAAACCTTGATAAGTCTTTGAATCGTGTAAAAGAAGTACATCCACTTTAATTCTTTGGTTTTTTATAATGTATCTCATTTCGTATTAATTGTCTTCTGATTGCCTAATGTTTTCCAAGGTCACTTAAGGTTGGCCATAAATTATAGCCTCGCCTATCACTTATTAGTTTGCAAATATCAGGTTGTAGTAATTACCCATTCTACATCAATCTGTTATTGTTTTATTAACAATATTTACAATAAGAAATTCGTAACACAAAATGATGTAACAAACATTAACATGGTTGCTGTCCACTTAGTTGGAACTTTGATATCAGAATTGGCTTGCATAAAAACTGAACCGCCATATAGATAACATAAGATACATCAATATAATGTAGACGCAGATTAATAATACAAGATTAACCAGGAATCTTTTGTTTCCCGTCCAATGTTATACTATTCGAATTACAAAATAAAGCATCTAATCAACTTGCAAGTCTTATCTCAGTTATGGATTTCTCCTAACTAATGGGGTGATAGGACAAATTCTTTTATCATACAATTGAACCGAACAGTAATTATTTTATATCATACGAAGACTTGAATTTAATGTGTAATGTACAATTTCTGATAGAATTCAACGAAGTATTTATTTCCCTGTCACTTAGTAAGTGATGAACACTGCTATCAATGATCCTTAAAACCTGTTCATAAAATAAATAATCAATAGAAGTTTACAAATGAATCTAAACACTAGTTCATTAAATTGCTTAATCCTATAGAACAGATGTTGAAACAAATATAGTAATTCAGTAATACTTCTGGATAGAATACACAAGGCATCAGACTCGAATGCGTCTCCCCCGACTGGCTAACTTTATAAATGTGTAGGAGTTAAAACGGATTTGTAAAATAAAATGTCCCCTGAGTCATGCGTATTAAAACTTACTTCATTCAATTCTTTATTTAGCTTGTCAATTTTTTTTATCAGTCAGTCAGTCATCAACAACGTAGAACTTCGTACGTACGTACATCAGTTCGAGTTGCCATACCACATTGTCAATTCAAATCCCATTGTGGTAGAGGTAGTAAGATTATAAGCAGTAATCGGAAAGATTAGGGTTTGAAGATGTTATTCAAGCAGTATAATCCAATGAAATAAGTTTGGAGAGAGGAAAAAAGGAGCATGAAGAATTCAGATTAGAATTTGGGAGAACACAAAGAATGGATGCACCTGCACCATTGCAAAAGATTTTGAGCCATGTCATTTAAGGTCTCTAATCATCGGTTGCTATCATCTCGCGGTCCCCAACCAGGTAGTCTACACCTACCAACATGACTGTCCACTTGTCTTTGACTTCATGGATTTGTGCCATGTTTTGGTCTGGCCGCCCCTAGCTTTCTTCCATCCTACTCCTACACCATGAAACATCGCATGCCGGGTCAGTCGGTCGTTGGGCATACGTAACACGTGTCCCAGTCATCTCAACTGATGAATTCTCACTACTTCATCAATTGATTTGCAATCCTTACCTAATACCCGTTTCCTAGCAACTACAGTACTTACTCGTTGGTCCCAGGATATACAAGCAATGCTTCGAAGACACCTATAATCGAATACTAGTAACCTACGAATATCCTCTAATCTTACCGGCCATGTTTCACTGCCATAAAGTAGGACGGAACGAACTGCTGCGCAGTAAACACGTCCTTTGGTTGATAGACGGATATCTCGCCTACGCCAAAAATGACGCAAGTTGGCAAAAGCTAATCGAGCCCTCTATATCCGTCCTGAGATTTTGTCACATACCAGACCACAAAGGCTGATGAGACTCCCAAGATAAGTGAAGCGGTCGACACACTCAACTACTTCACTCCCTATCACTAGTTCGGGTGTCGATGCAACCCGATCCTGAAGCAACATTTTGCATTTCGAGGGGGAGAATAGCATTGTTGCTTATAGTGGTCAGAAAGGCTCTGCATTTTTTCAGCGTTTTCACCATATAGAACTATGTCATCGGCTTATTCTAAATAATTAATTTCCAAATTAACTGATACTATGAAATGGTGGAGGGGTACCTAGCTTGTCGTATGCGCTGATGGTGTTCTTGTAACTTTGGGGTTGCCTGATCTACCAAGGGCGATGGGACAGTACATGATACTATTGTTATGTACTAGGTTGAAAAAGAATTGTATGCTTTATATATACAAATCCGCCCCATTATTGTTCCTTGAGATGGTGGAGATCCACGACCAAACAATCTAGCTCAGAGAACAAAACTCCATCAAAATAACTAATACTATTCATTTCATTGAATTTCTTTTGTTATGGGAATCGATTGAGAGATTAAACATACATATACATACAATAAAAACATGGTAAACTAATTGTACCAGAAGAAATAGTCGGTAAAACTATTCACCCAAACAAAAAATGATTCGAAATACTCGGTCATTATATGATGTGAAGTACAGCTGATTATCATAGAAGTTGTTCATGACAATATTTTATACATTATTGACCATGTTATTTTAAGTCATATTTGTATTTAACCAGGTTTAATAAATACTTTCGGTTTACTGAATATTTCAATAGCTTGTTCTAATTCACTGAGACGACTTTCAATTTCTGCACGTCTAGAACGAATTCTCAATGTATCCATACGTACTGGGAGGTGAGAAAATTCCTCTGACAACTGAGTATGAGCTATAGAGAAAATCAAAGTGTAATTAATGTATCGTAAATAATTAAATTTCTAATTATTAATATCATAATGAGATGGTGAAGATTTGTAGCTCAAGTGGATGATTTTGATGGAGGTTGTGTTCACGACTAAATCATCCAGCTCAGAGAACAAAACTTCATCAAAGTTGTTAATATCATTTATTTAGTTAAACACATAAACATTCGTACAAGGAGGCACCAAAAATATATGCGTCACATAAATCATTCGATTTGTGTGAGGGCTGGGATACTGCCCGGGTGCCCAAACTGAAGTAGGTGGTTTTTTCTTAGGGTGCCACACTCGAAGTCTTTGACATAAAAGGTCTGATTCACAAGACAGTGGAGCAACGTCAGAAGATGCAGTCCCATGGTGTCATTATTTAGTGTTGGAGAAAAAGTCAATTTTCATCTGACCAATTATTAGCCATTTTAAAATAACAACATGACTGGCTATTTCTCACACTTTATGGAATTAAGATCGAGAAATGTGGAAGAAGGGTTCTATTTGGCAAAAGAGATTCATTTTAGATGGTTCAACAACCTTGATAATGTTCAGAGCCGTGAAAATAAATCTCAGAAATCTTAATTTTACAGAAGTCAAGTTCCAACAACGTTTTACGTGATAATTAAAATTTTATTGTTGAATGTCACTATTTAAAGAGGATGTTACTATAAATTTCCTAAAATCTCCTGTTTAAAATTATTCTAGAATTAGTTAAACATTATTTTAAAAATATTTAGATCAGCGAAACGTAACATCACTTTAACATGAAGCCCTCAAATACTTTGGTACGGCAGAATGGGGAAAGTCAACTCTCCCCTCGAAATGTTCTCATATGGCCACGTGCATACAACCAGTCATACAAGTCCTACTCACTGCCCTTTCGCAGCGTGGATGTTTTTTACGAAATTGAGAGGACAAAAAGCAAATGTCCGGCGCTTTAACCGGGTTGGTGGATATGTAGGATCCACCTACGAAGTTGGAAAAACTCTGATTCCAAACAAATGATACAAATAGACTACAGGATCCTGAAGGAACAAATGGCGTATGAACCAATCGTTGGTCACCGGCAACCATGGGACTGCATCTCCTTACCATGCTCCACTACCTTGGGAATCAGATCTGTAGGTCGAAGGCTCCGGGTGTGTCCTCTTAAGGAAACCACCCACTTCAGTTTGGGCACCCGGGAAGTATCTCAGCCCTCACACAAATCGAATGATTTATTTGGCGCATATCTATTTGGTGCCTCCTTGTGCCAAAGTTTATGTGTTTAAATAATAAAATAATAATAATAGTGTGAAGCAGGTAGTGATTTGGTGTCCAGAACGGCAAAATAAAATCACCATTAAATCATCTATCTTAAGAAAACCTACCAGTTTTAGTTTTAGAAAAATATGTACCCTTAAGCACTACTGAGAAAGGGAATAAAAGGAAAGTTAATATTTATTCCCTTGTCATTTCATTCAACATAATTTGTAAACTGATATAACGGATGGTTTGAAATATTTTTTTCTCTCAAGTACACTACGATAATACGTTAATACGATAATGAGACTAATCACGTTAGATTAGATCCAGGATTCAAGACCCAGGATAGAGAACTAAATTAACAGTAGATAATACTTTAGTCAATACAGTTACAAGCTATTAAACTCAGGGAATCTGAAGTAGAAATCAATGGGAGGAAAGGTAATTACATATATAATATTCAGTAGGCTAGGTGCCTGTTTGTTCACTGCCGGTCTCTAGCCCGGATAAAGAAGAAGGGTTGGACGTGGGGTCAGCATCTCAATCCCGTAGAAAAACAAGCTTGATGGAGAGAACGCTGAGCAGAGTAAACAACTTAAACTCTGATCTGGGAGTTGAAAGATCTTCATTTACAAGAATTATGACACCTCATGGTAAAAGCCGAGATTCTTCAAAAATCATGAGGCCGATGGCCCCTCTAACAACCAAAGCAACAATTATTATAGGTACATGAAATATCCGTACAATGTGGCATACTGGAAGAACTAATCAGATAGTCACGAATGGATTTCTATCTCAACCCTGGACATGACTCGAGAAATGAAGAACAAGACAGCAATTAACAACAGCTAAATAAGCGAGTGAAGATCAGCATTAGAACTGATGAACGGAAGTATGTGGAACATCTAGCAACGACAGTGAAGGGAGTAGCAAGAGAAGAGAAATATGAAACAACTATATGACACAATGAATAAACTAACAAGGATGTTTAGTAAACCAGATCTAGCGGTCAAAAACAAACAAGGTAAGCCAACCACTGAAACTGACAAACGGTGGAACAGGTGGGTAGAGCACTCTAAAGAACTCTTGAACAGACCAATCCCACTGAACCCACCAGACATCTAAGCAGCACACACGCACATTCCTATGGTTGCCACTCCATCAACAATAGAAAAAGTCAGGATGGCAATCAGACAGATCAACAGTGGGAAAGCAGAAGCACCTGACAACATATCGGCTGTAGCACTGAAGTCAGATATTGAAGTAACTGCAAACATGCTTCACATCCTATTCTGAAAGATTTAGGAGCAACAAATGCCTATAGAATGGAAAGAAGAATACCTCATCAAGATACCAAAGAAAGGAAATCTCAGTATGTGTGAGAACTATAGAGGCATCCTACTACCATTCGTGTCAGCAAACGTTTCCAACAGTGTTGCTGAACCAGATGAATGATTCAGTGGACACTTAGCTCCGAGACCAACAGGTCGGATTCCATAAGGATCAGTCGTCCACGAACCAAATCGCAACACTACGGATCATCGTTCAACAATCCATTAAATGGAATTCGTCACTATACATCAAATTCATTAACTATGAGAAAGCGTTTGACGGTGTGGATAGGAGAACATTATGGAACGTATTCCGACTTTATGGTGTAGCCGGTTGCCTCATCAACACCATCCGGAATCCATACGACGGACTACACTGCGAAGTCGTGCATGGAGGACAGTTGACAGATACATTCCAAGTGACAACCGGAGTCAGACGAGTCTGCTTACTTTCCGACTTATTCTTTCTACTGGTGGTTGACTGGATTATAAAGACTTCCATATCTGAGGGGAAGCAAGGAATACGGTAGGCAGTTTGGATGCAGCTAGACGATTCGGACTTCTCATATGACCTAGATCTTCTATAGAGAACAAACCAGCTTCCGGATTAAGAGGAAATTAGGAAAAGATGTTGGAAGTGGACAAGACATACATTGAGAAAATCATCAGATTGCATGACGAGGCAAGCGCCAGCTTGAAATTCTGAAGCAGATATGAAAAGGATGAATAACGACTGGGAAGGATTTTGCAAGACAGATTTCGATGCACAATTCTGGTGGGCGGTTTATATTTTTCCTCGAGGGGTAACAGGAGTAAGCAAGTACGACATATCATATTCTGAATAAGATATCTGATTTCATTTATATTTGGATGAAAATCACATCTATGAATTAATACCTTTGTTAAGCAATTCTAATGTATTTAGACGTTCTTCTTCCGGCATTCTCTGATGTCCTGGAGGTTGATCTGGATCAGGTTGGTTTTCCAATTCTTTCTGAATCCGTTCTTTTTCTTTTTGTTTCATTTTGATTAGGCTAGAGAGAAATGATGATACATTCATGTACATTTCTTGTTATTTTATTGTAGACAATCAGTTTATATATTAAACAGCTTTATTAGACTTTTACTCTTTTATCATGCATAAATAACTCAATATTTGACTAATTCAATGTTTTAATGAGGTGTTTGGATAAATATGTTTAATTTGAATATTAGGTTTGTGTATTATAAAGCGACGTCATGAAGTTTTGATGGGAATTCATGACTCATAAAATTAACTAGATCAGCAGGGATCCAGGTACCAATGATGACAGTGAATAACTAGTGAGTTTCCAATATCTAAACAATAGCTTTACACTACAGTGAATGAACAGTAGTGTTACGTGCAAAATTTGATGATCCTTGGGCTACATACAATAGAACAGCATATGTATTCACTACGAAATTAAAATGAAATACCCATATATTTTTGCAGGCATTCTGTCATTTCTGATATTGTCTTGTCCTAAGTACCTTACCATTTTCAAACAATATCAAACATCAGAAAAGACAGTAACTGAGATGGTTATCACGTAGCCAAGTCAACCAGATGTATACAGATTCCGCATTTTATTAGGTGTCTTCTTCTCTTTGGCTCAACAAGTTATCTTGTTATGGACAAGACATGTTTTAAAAAGCAATCGAATAACTGAAATTCTTCTTAATCGTCTATCCATAATAGCGATGTCCCATAATAATGTAATTGTTGAGAATGTACCAAACTAGAGTAATCAAGTCCATTTATAACCATTCGGATCTCGTATTGGTGACAAGCTATGCAAATTATCATATTAAAGATTATACAACTTTCCAATTATGGGATACTAAAAGCTCAATCAACTACCTCACTCACCCTTTTCATAGTTCATTCATACGTATATACAGTACAATTTTATTGATTTTTATCACACTCAAATACAACGTTTTACAGAAAAGAGTAATAGTTGACAATTCGAATTTATATAATTCAGTACAAACTGATGGTATTACTAAGCCGAATTATATTTAATTAATGCGGATAACTTTCTTAACACATTGGCAATCCTTATAGGATTAACTTTTGTGTAATATTTTTTTCTAAATGAAATGAGGAAGGCACTCAACTGCATCACAACGCATGACCTCACATGAAACCCTCAAGGTCAAAGGAAAAAAGGGAAGATCAAAGAACACATTACGTCAAGAATTGGAAACAGACATGATAAAAATCAACAAAAATTGGATAGAACTGGGAAGGCCTAGGACAGAGTGGGTTGGAGAATGCTGGTCGGCGCCCTATGCTCCATTGGGAGTAGTAACAGATATAAATAAGTGATCGTTTTTGGTTCAAATAATTGATTACTTAAATATGATGTAACATGGATAGACTAACAAAACTTACTAAGGTGGGATAACCCCACTTTTTAATCGTCTTTCAGGCCACATTCTTGATGTATGCGATATTTGTGATTTTGTTATATTTGAATCCGTTAGATGAGTTTTATCATTTAACGATAAAGAATTCATACTTGCTATCCGTCGAATTCCAGTTCTTTTTAAACTTGGTGCTGTTGCCATATGAGCATTAGCACGAACAAAATTAATATCACGTCTGATAAATTCAACCTATTAATATAGAAAACAATTTAGATTATAAAACTGTCTATTTGTCTTACTTTTAATAGGAAGCAAAAAATGCTTATGATATTATTGACATCTCGAACTGATCGGAGTTAGACAACCACTGAGAATCTGGAACCACAACGTCTGCTTCTTCTTAGCATGAAACTCTTCAACAATGAGCACCCACGACCTTGCCACCAGGGACCTTCAGTCTTGCCCCCGAATACCTAAGCTTCGAACCACTGAGCAGGAGTCCAATCATGTGCAAGTTGAACTCCATTCAATCTGCTGTATTACTCAACAGCCTCCAATTATCTTAATAAAATACTACAGGTGTGCAATAGACCCCACTAGCCGATTACATTCATACTTGAGTCAGAGATAAACGCAGAATTTGAGTTTCTAGATGTTTGGCTAAGAAAAAAGCCGTACGTCTATTCACAAAGGTCTATATATAGAAAGTCAATATGAAGTGCGCAAAGTTTAATTACATTTAGTACAAAGAGAAAATTATCTTTATTCTTGAGAGCTATAATAATGTACTGAAGACATGATCGACAGAAAAACTGAAAAATATCAGGAAGTGGATTTTCTCTCTGCTTCAGTGGCAGTAGCCTAAAACCAAAACACCTAGTTGAAGGAACTCCTACTCTACGAAAAATATTTCTTATGGAGATTTAGTTCAAAGAGGATGGGGCTGCATAGATCTTAAGAAACTAATTGTCGAAATCCAAAGTTTTTTATTCAAATGAGTTCTTTTTCAGTAAATGCCTGACTCAAGGATGTGTCGAGGATTAACTATCGTTTCGGAGCACTTCAGTGTCCATCCATCAGTTAACCTGCCGCTGTGGAGTATATTATATTGGCTGCATAAAGCATTCTGATTTCAAACGCATATTCGAACACCTTCTAGCACAGGTAATAAAGGTGAATCTACATCCGTTGATAACTCGATTACTGAACATCTAGTTAATTCTGATAATCTATCTCCACCAAAATCTTTATTCACAATTATTGATAAAGTCAGACAAACTGGTTCTAATGGAAGCTGGATAGGAAAATGTTACATAGTAAAGGCATTGGAAACCCATTAATTCAAGCCAGATCTCTGAGTTCAGAAGCGTTTATCTAATCCCTCAGTCTGCCAATTCGTTTTTACTTTTTGAGCTGTTTTATGGCACATGTTCGCTCTCTTATCTATCCTACCTAAATCTCGATAGTGTAATAAGAAAACGTAGATTATCAGAACTATAAATATAGTTCTGATAATCTTCTACTGATCAATAATAAAATTTTTATGGTGGACTGTCGTTACATACAAAACTACTGAAAATCAATGCTAACTCCATACCTGGTTTTCCCATGGAGAAAAATTCTGACGAGCTGAAAGTTAAAATGGGACACTTGTTCACCGGCTTTTTCGTTCTCGGTAGTCCTATAGATGACATTACTTAGCACTGAAAATTAATATTGATTTCAGTGAAGTACGTTTACTTATATCTTTATCATTATGACCATGAATTCGTTATTTTTAAGTCAGTCAGTCAACTACAACGTAGTACCAGGCACATATATGCATCGGTCCAAGTTGCCATACCGCATTAGCACAACGAGATGAAGATCAAGTCCATTAAAGTAGTCAATATATAAAAGAAAGATTGCATATCACGATATAGTACAGGAAGAAAGAATTAGTTCGTAGAAAGATATGAGACGATTTTAATCTCATAGTTTAAATGAAGACAGAGATTGTATACACTACACCATTGTGATCGGTTCTGAGCCATGTCATCCAGAATCACCAACCACTGGTTACAATAGTCGCGCGGACACCAGCAATATAGTGTGTATCTACCAACATAAATCACACCAGAAGTTAATGACTTCAAGCACTGATGCCGCGTTTTGATTTGGCCACTCCTAACTTTCTTCCAACCATCCCCAACACCGGTTAGCATTGCACGTCGTGGTAATCGGTGTTCAGGCATACGTAACACGTGGCCCAATCATCTCAGTCGATGAAGATTCACAACCTCATCAAATAATTTACCATCATTCCCTAATACCCTGCGTCTAATCTCACTATTACTTATCTAGTGATCTTAGCAGATGCGACAAATATTTCTAAGGCATCTGTCGTCAAATACTAGTAACTTACGATTATCTTCTACTCTTAATGGCCATGTTTGGCAGCCGTAAAGTAGAACAGAACGAACTGTCGCACAGTATACTCATCCCTTATTCGATAATCGGATATCTCGCCTTCGCTATTTTAGATAACATAGATTAGATATAATAAATAAACTTACATTTTTAGCTGATTCAGCTTTTGGTACAGATGTTTTAGCTGAATTCAAATGTTTATGTATAGGTGAAATAGGTATACTACTTAAATATTTTAGATCAACTTCATCTTCAATATCACGAGAATGTGCACGTAAATATTCTGTTTTTTTAATTGATTGAATTGGTGTTAATGTTGTTCGTTGTATTTTTTTATCAGATTTATTTGTTCTTAATGATAAAGATTGATGAGATTGTCCCTTAGTTTTAGAAGAAACATTATGTGAATTAGGCATATGTGGGGGAATAGTTTGCTTCAATTGATCTATATAATTATCAGTTTGTGTAGATATTGATGAGTTGCTTGATTGTAGATATTTGGGATTATCAGTTTTGTTTAAATTAATACTATATTTATTTTGTTTACTAGATTTGATCGGGTCAGTTTTTGATAATGACTTAATTGATGTATTAAATCCAGTCTAATAAGCAAATAGAAAATCATTGTTAAACACAATTATTTAACAGTAATCAGTTTATTATATAATAAAAATAATTCAATAATTGAAATCATGAGTCAATTGAAGCTAGACCTGGAAGCACTGGACGGTCGTTTCGTCCTATTGTAGGACTTCTCAGCAGTGCACATCCACGATCACGCCTTGCGAGATTTCAACTCATGACCTATCGGTTTCGTACGCGAACACTTAACCTCTAGACTACTGAGCCGGCATCCAATTGTGTTAATGTCTAACTTCAACTAATTCACAAAATCGAGCGACACATCCAACATTGTCATCAGTGAGTTACTATCTCATGACAGACCCGGTTGAACTCCACTGGTCACTGCTTCCCACCAGAACTCTAGGAAATACTTGTTGAAGCTAGTCACTAATGAGTATATGCTGATAACTTTCTGAAATTAACTTTAAAGCATTAACTGACTACTGAGTGGTATAAACATGTAAATAAATTTATTAAGATTTAAGTCATAAATTTAACTATTAAAGATAACGATAAATAAACAGGAATTCAACAAACATTTAAACAATCTAAATGTAAGGTGATTGAAATGATGCTACTTTACTACTTATATCAGTGATACGATTCAAGGTGTATTGTCTCAAAGTCTTAATGAGAAGTTATATTTTCAGTGATGAGAGTTTTAATGAAAAATAGTCGAAATTTTCGAATAACTTTTTCTGGTTAGTGTTTTTTAGCGAGTTAGTTTTCTATATGATGGGGTCGCTAACCTCATACCCAACCCTCCTCCTTTATCCGGGCTTGGGACAGGCAGTATTCCCAGAGAGGCCCAACTGCGAGATCAACAGGCAGGATTCCGTGAGGATCGATCGTGTACAGACTAAATCGCAACACTACGGATCATTGTTGAACAATCGATTGAATGGAATTCGCCACTCTACATCAACTTCACTGTCGACGAGAAAGCATTTGATAGCGTGGACAGGACAACACTATGGAAGCTCTTTCCATACTACGGCGTATCTGAGAAGATAGTCGATATCATACGGAATTCATATGGTGGATTAAACTGCAAAATCGTGCGTGGAGGACAGTTGGCAGACTCGTTCGTGGTAAAGACCGGTGTCAGGCAACGTTGTTTACTCTCACGCCTTCTCTTTCTCCTGGTGATCGACTAGATAATGAAGACGTCAACATCTTAGGGGAAGCATGGGATACAGTGGACATCTAGGATGCAGCTGGGAGATCTAGACTTCGCAGATGGTTTGGCCCTCCTATCGCAATAGCAACAACAAATGAAGGAGAAGACGACCAGTGTAGCAGCAACCACAGCAGCAATAGATCTCAGCATACAAAAGGGGAAAAGCAAGATTCCTCGATACAACACAGCATGCAACAATCAAATCACACTTGACGAAGAAGATTTGTAAGATGTAAAAACCTCAACATATCTGGGCAGTGTGGATCTGATGCAGATGTGAAGGCGCGGATCGACAAAGCAAGAGCAGCATATTTACAACTGAAGAACATCTAGAACTCAAGGATCTGTCTATCAACCAACGCCAAGGTCAGAATTTTTAATACAAATGTTAGGACAGTTCTACTGTAAGGGGTGGAATCTTGGAAAACTAGGAAAGCAACCATCCAGAAGATACAAGTGTTTACTAACAGTTTTCTACGCAAAATACTTCGGATCCGTTGACCAGACACTGTTAACAACAACCTACTATGGGAGAGAACAAACCAGATCACAGCGGAGGAATTCATCAGGAAGAAGAGCTGGGAGTGAATAAGATACATATTGAAGAAAGCACCCAACTACGTCAAAAGGCATGCCCTCAAGTGGAATCCTCAAGGTCAAAGGAAAAAAGGAAGATCAAAGAACATATTACGTCGAGAAATGGAGACAGACATGATAAAAATCAACAAAAATTGGATAGAAGTGGGAAGGCCCAGGACAGAGTGGGTTAGAGAATGCTAGCCGGCAGCCTATGCTCCATTGGGAGTAACAGATGTAAGTACGTCGAAATTCCTACCACACAAACGTTATATTAAGTAAAAAAAATCTAGTTGTTTTTATTACCTCCGAAGATATAGGATTTTCATTTGATTGAGATTGTCTAGTTTGTGCATGATGACATGTAATAAATTTGTTGCATGTATTGTTTTGTGTACGATCTGTTGAGAGAACTGATCTACCGCATTGTTCTGCAACACGTTTTTTAAATGTTATACTGTCTTCTAATTGTCTTAGTTGACGAATATTTTCACGAATATAATCTTTTCGACGATTATCTGATAATTTACATGAAACATAGATAAAGTTCTCTAGAGTACAGTTGTAAATAAAATAAAATTTATTTCAAAAGCTCACTTGATATTACTATCTCTCAATACGGGACTAAGTTGTGAAGAATTCCAGAAATAACTTTTTAATCAATTTTAAATCAATACACAAAACAACTGGGTGACTATTTGCTGGTTAGCGTTTTTTTAGCACAGTTTCTTTTCTGCGGGATGGGGTTGCCGATCCCATTCCTCCTCTATCCGGGCTTGAGACTGGCAGTAATTCTCGAAGAGTTACAGACAGCTATTTACAGATAGCTTTTAATCACTGGATACCACGTACGGTGCGTTATAATAACAAGTGACTAGTTAGTTTATTAGCGTAAATGAGAGGAATGCATAATGTGATCCTCAGCGTCAAATGAGGTTGGATTTAATGGAAGTGTTTAAGCAAGTTAATCGGAAAATCCAGTGTCTTAAATTCGTAGATGTTTATCCTTAGACTAGATAATATTGATCATATATGTATTCGAAACATTGCTCGTATATCCTGGGACCAACGAGTAAGTAACGCAGTTGTTAAGAAACGGGTACTAGGTAAGGATGGCAAATCAATTGATGAAGTAGTGAAACTTCATCAGTTGAGATGGCTGGGACACGTGTTACGTATGCCCAAACACCAACTGCCCCGACGAGCGATGTTTAGTGGTAAAGGAGTAGGTTGGAAGAAAGCTAGGGGCGGCCAGACCAAAACATGGCACAAAACCATGAAGTCACTGACAAGTGGACTGAGCCATGTTGGTAGATGTGGACTACCTGGTTGGGGACCGCGAGATGATAGCGACCGATAGTTAGAGACCCTGAATGACATGGCTCAAAATCGTTTGTAATGGCGAAGGTGCATCCATTCTTTGTGTTCTCCCAAATCCTACTTTCCTGAATCCTCCTTGTCTCTTTATTTCTCTTTCCAAATTTATTTCACTGGATTATACTCTTTAAATAAAATCTTTAAACCCTAATCTTTCCGATTACTGTTCTTCCGAAAGCATATTCATTCTTAAAACAATTAAGTTATAATACTTCAACTCAAATTCAAATACAGTAAACTTATCTGCGTGGTTGTAACGCATCATTATTAGTTAATAAGAAGTCATTCTTGATTTATTGTTATTCATACAAAATATATGCACCACCTAATCAACTTTCGTTGAATGTTAATAATCCTGAAATGAAACTAAAAATCGAGAACTGTTTCCTTCCAACTTCAGCTGATAAGCTTCAAGATACACCAAAAAGAAAACCCAACGTGTTTTACTGCCAACATTTCTAAGCGTTGCATATTTTTGTCAGTACTTCATAACATCTATGATTTCTTGATGATTGAACTTAGGAAGACTGATGTAGCCCAGATGATATGCACAACGTAGATCATAACTTCTCTGTAAACTATAGTTTAGTCAGTCAGTAACAACGTAGAACTTCGTACGTACGTACATCAGTTCGAGTTGCCACACCACATTAGCACAGAGATGCACTTGTCGATTCAAATCCCGTAGTGGTAGAGGTAATAAGAGTATAAGCAGTAATCGGGAAGATTAGGGTTTGGAGATGTTATTTAAAGAGTATAATCCAGTGAAAGAAATTTGGAAAGAGGAAAAAAGGGACATGAAGAATTCAGAAGATTAGAATTTGGGAGAACACAGAGAGTCATGAAGTAGTTTTTAAAAGTTTTCCAAACAATTCAATTTATATCAGAAGGGTTCTTGTGGATATTATAGTAATTTCAATGGTTGAGATCATGAGTCAATTAAAGCTAGATCCAGTGCTTTCAGGTTCTTCATGGTGGTCTAGCTTCAACTGACTCATGATCTCAACCACTGAAATTTAATTTATCATAAAATAATGGCATAAAATATCATATTTGTTCGAGAAAATTACTGAAAACAAACCTAACATTCAATTATGACAAAAAATTACCACAACCTAATGAATTACAAGTCTAAATCCGTTGAGACATGTTCAACATAAAAAATATAGAATCGAGAGCTACTCCCTTGTAAGTTGTTCCCGTATGACAAAAAATCGGTTAGAAATTTAACCAGCATGTTAAACATTAAACTCAAATAACAAAAGATTTAGTATGTCAACGTTTTTGTAACCCAGTCAAAATTCCTGTCATTTTTTAGAGTCACACAAAGTGTGATATTTTTATCTACATCCACTGTATATCTACTTTTTGTTTGAACAATAGGCTATCCACCTCCTTTAGTTTAAAGGGGATCACTTAAGCCGATTAAGATTCAAAATACTCCTTCAATTTAAAACCGTCCTAGCTAAAATAAAGACATTAAAATTAGTTCTTATCTTTTGTTACAATTAGAAAAACAGAAGCTCAATTTTGAAAATGAAACTGATACTTACTGCGCAATCGTAACCGATCCAATGAACTGCTTGATGTATTCGTTTGCCATTGTAATAAATCAACATTGTACGTTGGACCATTTGTACATTTGAAGTTGGTTTCATCAGTTGATTTCAGATTATGGTTTATTAGATTTGGTTTGTACAGATTTGTATAGTTATTAACAAATACAGGATGATGAGATAATATTGACGTCATACTGAGGTACTTTTTGGCGTTTGTGTAAAAAACTTACTACGATTGATAAGCTGAATAATAATAATAATAAATGAAATTAAAAGATAACTTATTATAACTCCAACCATAACTGTCAAATTTTTTCAGTTAGATCGAATGTACTCTAAAGTCTATTTGCTGATCATGATCTACTTTTTGTCAGGTAACAGATTTTATACTCAATTATCGTTAGAGTGACAAACTTTTATTCGTCAAGTTATTATTTATTTATTTATTTATTTATATTTAAACAAATAAATATTGGTACAAATGGGCACCGAATACATATGCGTTAAACAAACCACTTGCTTCATGTAAGGATTGGGATACTGACCGGGTACCCAAGCCAAAGCAGGTGGTTTTCTTAGTGGCCCATCCCCTGGACCTTTGACCAAGAGGTCTAATCCACAAGGCAGCGTGGCAACATCAGGAGATACAGTCCTATGGTAGCCGGTGACCAACAATACGCCATTTGTTTCCTTAGAATCCTGGATCTCATGTACACCGTTGGCTTGGAACCAGGGTTTTCAAGCTCCCTTATGTGAACTTCCCGTGTCCACCAACCAGGTTAAATCGCCAGACATTCGCTTTTCGTCCTCATGATTTCGTAAACAATACCCGTGGTGCGAGAAGGCAGTGAGTAGGAATTTTCTGTCAGTGGCTGTATACGCATGGCCATGTTAAGGCACTTCGAGAAGGTGAGTTGACTCTTCCCACCCTCATCCATACCACGGCATTCGGGGGTTATTTCTCTCTCATAAGCAAAGTTAACCAAATTTAAAAAATCAGAAACACTGGTCGATAATTCTTTAGACCACTACTATACTATTGCGAGAAAAGCGATTAAGGTTAATTAACTTCTAAAACAATATAGCTCGTTGATACTTAAATTAGTAGACCAAATAATAATAATAATCTATTGATAAATGTTAACCACTACGACAGCATCCGAGAAAAAGCACGAAAATTCGAGTCACATGCCGAATATACAGAAGCAAACAAAGTAGTAGAGAAAAGCAGCAGAGTTGTAAAGTGGAAGCTCGTAGACTCAACAATTACAGCAGAAAAGGTGCAAGAGGGAATTGAAAAAAGCTGCATGGTACAACCTAAATGCTACCATGGAAAAATAGTAGATTTATGCAAGAGCCTATTTGTTGACGTCTTCCACGACGAACGGTAATCAGTAGGGAGGATAGTTTAACGAAGCCTTGGCTGATAGAACTCACCAAGACTTCTAAAGTCTGTCTACGTGACTCTACTTACTGATTAACTCATCAGTACATAAGAGCTTTGGTTTCCGCCTGCACTACGATTATCGTACTATTTTTGGGCCAATTATATGGAAGAAATCAGAATTGAAATATAAAACTTTACTATTTTTAATAGTGAGTATTGTTTCTCAGTGTTCTGTTGTTTGATATGTCGCTTGTCATGCATTATAATTGGTTTCTATAAGGTAAAGCTGGATCGAATTAAAAGCCGATCAGTCACGATTAAATTAGACTGTGTCACAAATGTGATCTAGAAAAACGTGATACATCACATTAGTGTGACGAGATAGAATCAACAAGATGATAATTAAGAGTCGAAACAATCTAGTAACATTATCGATTAAAAAAAGACTAAAACGCGAATATAGTTTGAAAGGATAATGAAAATGTAATCATAAATGAATGGTAGAACTGTAGATCTAGAGAAAAAAGGAGTGAGTTCACCTGAACCATTGAGATGGATTTCGAACTTATTGTCAGACAAACGTGCTGAACCACTGATCATGATCATCACACTGACCCGAACAAGATGATAGTCTGCATGGCTCAACAATGATCATAATATAAGTCAACGAATTCACAAAAAGATGCCACTTTTATATTAACTAACCACTAGCTTTCTTTCAACTAGGTCCCAAAGCAGCCAACCCAAGTAATTAAGTGATCGAAAACGCGCCAAAAGGTCTGCTTTTTCGTCTGTTATTCGGAAATAAAGTGAAATTTCCACTTTTTTCGCCTTAGATTTCGATGTGCAAATGACAAACTGATAATCCAGATTCTAGCTGAAGCGATTGTTTCAAGAGTAAACAAATAATTTACCTGATTCGTAACGTGTAAAAAGAATGAATCAAAAGGATAAAAGCGGGAACGGAAATGATAATAAGAGAGGTAGGAAGTAGTTACTGGTATGTGGTAATGATAGCCGTGGTAATTTACGAGACGTGCATCAGACACAGATGGTCAAAGAGGAGAATGGTAATCTGTGAATAGGCAGTTGTTTATCAAGTTCCCTCTAAAAGCTATCAACTGATGTGGCCATGGTCACCCCGGCTGGGGGCGCATTCTGAACGGGAGAGACCTTTGATGAGAAAAAGTAAAAGCGTATCTGTTCTTTGGTGTGCAGTCTTTTGAAGGTTGCCTTGAGGAGCGTGTTGATGATATTCTGGTAATATGTTAGTGTTGGGGTGGCTCGGTGCACTTAATATATTTTCGGCCACTATCAGGTCACTTCTCATTCCCCTGTAACTCAACCAGAATCACCTCGGATGTTGGGGTCTGTCCCGTAAGGTTTTTGTTTTAGACATCTTATCCAATTGAGTTCCTGCCTCTGAAATTAGTCCGAGAAACATATTATTTTGTAGTTTAAGCTGGTGTCCTAATTCTCCGTGGTTGCAAGCCCGAGAACGTTCAAAAGAGACAATTGGGAGAGGATTCGCGCGCAGGGTGAAAGCGCTTTGTGTTAAATGAGGAAGAATGTTCATGACGTGATATTTCGACAGGTTATGTTTGAACTGTTTATCTATTGCCGATTTTTCTATTGTAGGGTACCATTTAAACTCAAGTGAATAATTTTCGCTCCTTGTAGATCTTTGAATCTTTTCGTCATCTGCAGAGATTAGCGCTGCTAATTTATTTTTATCTAACACGTTAATATGGATCAAGATGAAGGAATGATCTAAGACATCTTAGGTCAATACTGACATATATATAATCCATTATTAAACTGCTGATGTATAATCATCTGAAATCGTTTCGACAAGCAAATTATAGAAAGCTAGCAACTCAATTGAATTCAAATACTAACACAGAATTCCTTTAATTATTGAGAATGTTTTCAGAAACATGAGAGTTACTCGGAATGAGAATTTTCGTTACAAGCGCTGATACATTGTTACCAAAAAGCGTAAACAGTCGTTTATTAAAACAATAATTAATTATGTGGTTATTCCTAACAGATACTTGAAAATTTTCCGTCACAGGCTTCATTTTCACTTATAGTCTTGTATCTCTGACTTGAAAAATGCCTTAGCATGTTTCTTATATGAGGACCTTTAAATATATGTTCGTGTGATAAAGTAATATAGTACTCCTATGTCCAAATTATCTTATACATAATAGTGCATAGCATAAGAATCATATAAGGCTTTGATTTGCATAAGAGGGGACGGAATAAGCCATAACGTATATAACGAGTTTCACTACAATAGTAAAGTTCAATGAAGTTCATCATATTTGTATTAGCGTCAGCCCCGCATACTAGAACTGTTTTGACATTCTTATTGAAGATTCCGACTTTGAAACTGGTTGAGTTCCATGTGTTCTTCAACTGTAGGAATGCTGCCCTTTCGTTACCAATCCTTGCCTTCACACTCGGATTAGATCATCCTTGTTTATTGATGATGCTGACCAGGTACGTGAAAGTTTCCACACCTTCCAGAGTTTCGTCATCGAATGTGATTGGGTTGGTGTTCTGCACGTTGTATTTGAGGATGTTGCTTTTTCCTTTGTGTATGTTGAGGCCTACTGCTACAGTGGTTGGTGCTACACCTGCTGTCTCCACCTGCAATTGTTGGTATATATGGGATAGAAGAGCTAGGTCATCTGCGAAGTCCAAGTCTTCTAGCTGCCTCCAAACTGTCTACCATATTCCGTGCTTCCCCTCAGATGTGGAAGTCTTTATAATCCAGTCAAACACCAGTAGAAATAATAAGTCGGAAAGTAAGCAGACTCGTCTGACTTTGGTCGTAACTTGGAATGCATCTGTCAACTGTCCTCCATGCACGACTTCGCAGTGTAGTCCGTCGTATGAATTCTGGATGATGTTGATGAGATAACCGGTTACACCATAAAGTCGGAATACGTTCCATAATGTTCTCCTATCCACACCGTCAAACGCTTTCTCATAGTTAATGAATTTGATGTATAGTGACTAATTCCATTCAATGGATTGTTGAAAGATGATCAGTAGTGTTGAGATTTGGTTCGTGGACTACCGATCCTTATGGAATCCGACCTATTGGTCTCGAAGCTAAGTGTCCACTGAATCATTCAACCGGTTCAGCAACACTGTTGGAAACGTTTGCTGACACGAATGGTAGTAGGATGCCTCTATAGTTCTCACACATACTGAGATTTCCTTTCTTTGGTATCTTGATGAGGTATTCTTCTTTCCATTCTGTCGGCATTTGTTGCTCCTCCCAAATCTTTCAGAATATGATGTGAAGCATGTTTTCAGTTACTTCAATATCTGACTTCAGTGCTACAGCCGATATGTTGTCAGGTGCTTCTGCTTTCCCACAGTTGATCTGTCTGCCATCCTGATTTTTTCTATTGTTGATGGAGTGACAACCATAGGAATGTGCGTGTGTGCTGCTTAGATGTCTGGTGGGTTCAGCGGGACTGGTCTGTTCAAGAGTTCTTTAGAGTGCTCTGCCTACCTGTTCCACCGTTCGTCAGTTTCACTGGTTGACCTGGCTTGTTGATTATTGACTTCTAGTTCTGTGCTGTGTGCTACTTATCTCGACAGATATAAGTAGTGTGTATCATCAGTCTAAGATGTAGTGCCTGAAGGCAGAACTTTAATGAGATCAAAAAAAGGAGAACGATAACATAGAGTGATCGGTGTGGAATCGAATGACCTCTGGATTCTTAAACGATTAATTGACACTTTCAGAAGGAAGAGTCAAGTTTGAGACAAGTGATTAACATTTTGCAAATAAAGCATTTATTGTAGGGCTATCACGTATTTCCGATTGTCAGCTCTAATGCTCTTCTTCGTTTGCTTGTTTGCTTTTGAGTATTTCTTATGATGATGCCTGTTCGACCCAGCACTCTCTTACACGTTGGGGTACTTCTTTAGCTTCAGTGTATTCTTGGTCACGACTAGGTGTTGATCTGAAGCTATAAGAGCTCCTCTCTAGATTCTCATGTTTTCCACTGAACTACTGAACTTTTTAGTGATACACATATGATCGATCTTATTATCTGTAGTGTGATGTAGTGAGACCCATGTAGCTTTGTGTATGCGTCTGTGTGCGAATATTGTCCCGCCTACAACCACTTAGTTGAATGCACATGGGCTGGTACGTCTGTCACCATTCTCTTTCCCATCTCTCAATACATCTCATTTCATGATATCTTCATGCCAGGTGTTGTCCATTCCGACTTTGGCGTTTAGGTTGTGGGATTACGGTCAACTTCGTTATTAGTACTGCTCTAATAATAGACCTCATCCTAAAATATTAGATTTGCCATTATATAACTGCCTAATCTATAAGATCTTACGTGGAAGTCTCATCATCATCTACACCAACTCATTGCACCGTAACAAGTACCAATATATAATGGAGAACACATCCAGGCTGGAGAGAGAACAATATGTTTAATGTGAGTAAAAGTATGTTGTACAGAGCGACCACGCCTGCGAGGTTGAGTCATGTCATCCGATCAACTCGATTTAATTCGATTCATTGTTGCCGTCTTCCCCATCGTTCGGTTTTCTCTGCGTTAAATGATGAATATCTATTTCCCGAACTATCTCGCGTTCAGCTTTGAGGATTGTGGAGTTAGGGCCCAAAACCACTACAAGGTCTCTCATCAGGATGGTCAAGTTATTTCCTGAGCACTTCTCTGTGATCGATTGCCGCCTCTCGTAATACTGGTCTTTATTTTCGTCATTTGTGGTCGCATAACACTGGATAATATTTATTGTGATTCCCTCCTTCCTCGTAAATGAAAGATGTTTTGATAATCCTGGATCCATGAGATTTTCATCGCATAAGAGTTTTAGGTGCATCTTTGGACAGCATCAGAGCAACTTCCTGAGTATGTGGAGCATTTTCCTCTTCGAGAGCAGTGCACAGCAAGACCTCTTTAGAATCTGTCTTCTTCTGTCCCACTTTGATCCAGTAGGTTTCACTTATTCCGAGCACCGTCATTTGTATCTCCTCCATTCCGCAGCTAATTGGTTAGTCTTCTTATGCTTTTACTTTGTTTGAACATTCCATGTATTTATACTAATTGTTCTTCTTGATTTAGGTTGGGTCATCGGCCTCATGATTTTCAAAGAATCCCGGCTTTCAACATGAGATGTCGTAATTTTTCCTCCGAATCCCAAGTCAGAGTCTGAATGGTTTAATTTAGATGTTCTAGTTGTCGTTCTCTCAAGTTTTTTCCACGGGGTGAGGATGTCTACCCGATGTCCGACCTCTCGCTTTTACCAGGGCTTGACACCTGCGTAGCCCACTCACAGAATACAGATACCACGATTTCGCTGATGAGACATGCTATAAAAGCGAGGGAATCAAATATATCAGTTCGCACTGAACTGGCTAACACACTTGGGATAAAAATTTGAATAAAATTCAGGAGACGAAAGATCCTGTAACGGAACACCAGGTGATGAATATAACCGCCAAGTACCTGTGTGCCAATATAGAGGACTTAAAGATAAACTAGAAGGAATCGGAAGCGTGTTTTCAATTAGGTATGAAGATCATAGTCCTCACTAAAATATGGCTATCATCCTACATGTTGGATTGAAAAGTAAGCTTGCAAGACAGGACATTTTTCAGATACGACAGAGTGCACAAAACATGAGGCGGAGGAAAAATATACACTAACAGTCACTTCAAAACCACAACACTACACATTACCGAATTAACCGGGGTGACAGAATCATTTTGGAGTCGTACCAATTTAAAAGGCACGACATATTGGATTGAAGGAATATGATGGCCCTCCTCACAGGTTCCAACACTCAAAAATGAGACAATACATGCTATTCTAAAGCTATTTTACTTGGGCTTGACAAAATTCTACTAGCTGGAAGTATCAACACTCCACCTGTACATCTCCGCAAGTAGGATACTGCCCTTACAGGGCGGTTCCATAGGCAGCTTGTTAGAGTCATTAGAAGTTTAGGACGGAATAAACATTCAGGTGACATCACGAAATGGGAACGGAACGGAAAAACATCAAACTTATTTGTTGGCAAATAATCACCTTCTGGGTGATGATGTCAATGTCTAGCCAACAAAAGGAAATACTGACCGTATTTCAGTAATATTTACCATGGTTACACTAAACACAGAGAAGAAAAAAGAATTTTCTTCACCTCACTACAAGATATACAAACCCACATACTAATACTAAGTTGACTAGAATTAATGCAGTGGAATGGCTTGAGTACCATCCACTAGACATTACCGAATACCCGCAACTGTACCGAAACATGAAGTGAGGGCAAAGGAATCATTTAGTTTAATCAAACTCGTGACATTGTTATTGAGTCGCCGCGAAAGTTCAAAGTTTCGCCACAACTGTGCAGTTGTACTAGGAAAATGACTATTGGGGTTATGGAAGAGCGTAATCAAGACGCCACAATATATGTTGGTGGATTGGACGAAAAAGTTAACGAATCAATCCTTTGGGAACTTTTTCTTCAGGCGGGACCAGTAGTCAACGTTCACATGCCTAAAGACCGAATAAACATGCAACATCAGGGGTACGTTTGTCAGTGAATTTATGCCCAGTTTTATTGGTTTATATGTAACTAACAGATTTATGAACTGATAATAACAGTTGAAAAATGACTTCTATTCACTAGCATTTCGTTTGCACAAAAGTGCTTAGCATCCATTTGAATTGGTAAGTACTAGAGAATAATCCACATATTTATCATTAGGCATAACTGCAACCCATTTCCAGCTACTCTTTTCATCACACAGTAAATGACTTAGGCTACAGTTATTTTTTAATAAGTATGAAAGAAATGTGTTTGGCTAACTTTATTACAACAAATATCCTGTCTGGTTGTGGGATCGTCTACTTTATACCTTTTCGACCACTGCAGTTCAATTGTTCTTTTCGAGCCTAATATCTTCCATCACTGTCATGTGTAAAACATGGTTGTGATTATTCATCCACATCAATGATCATCCTTATATTGTCGACTTATATATGCACCATTTCTTGATTACAGCTAGTTACTGAGTATGGTAACATACTAAAGCGTTCCTAATCCTTATGCATAAGTAATTTTTCTGTCTACTCTCAACTGATATTTTTGTTATTCGTGTCTTAACTTTTGATAAAGATGGATCGTCAGAATATCTTTGTCAGTACATTATCTTGGTTAAAGCTCAAACAAGAAGCATATTAGTTCACTTAAGTATCAGTATTCTGAGTCCTATTCATACTTTTGTTGGTGTTAATGACCAGTCGAATAGTAACTTTAATTTAGATTATTCCATTTAAGTCTTCGCGACATTGTTTACAAAACAAGGCTAAAAGTCTATGTTAGCTCTTTTCTAGTATACTGTGGGTGTCGAATTAGCTAACTGATCGTAAGGACATCATTTTCGGTAGTGGGTTTCAAGAGTTGATTACTCGATAGGAAAATCCGTATGTCACAGGCATTTTGTTCATTCTTTTAAATCCTACGACATCTACTGATTGTGCCGGCTTGATTGAAAGAAAATATCAGATCTAAAATCAGTCAGTCAGCTACAACCCACGACCAGGCACATATGCGCATCGGTCCAAGTTGTCACATCTCATTAGCACAGCAAGATGGACAATTTCATAGAAGCAGTTACTTCAGTGGTAGTAAAAATAACTTCATACAGGGAAAAAGAATTAGTTCGTAGAAAGAAAGATATAAAGTAATTTTAGTCTCACGGTTTAAGAGAAGACTAAGAGTGTACACTTACTCCATTATGATCGGTTCTGAGCCGTGTCAGCAAAGTAGACTGCATCTAACAACACGAATCACACCAGAAGTTGGTGGATTTATGGATTAATGCCACGCTTTGGTTTAGCTGCCCCTAATTCCCTTCTATCCGTTTCCAAAACTAGTCAGCATTGCGTGTCGTGGTAATCGGTGGTTGAGCATGCGTTATACGTGGCCCAACCATCTCAGTCGATGTAGATTCATAACCTCATCAACTGATTTACCACAATCCAAAATCACCTCACAGTATCTCATACATCAGAATTAGATTTACGAAAAAAATGATATAGATCCTTATAAGGTTATAGATGAGTTAAAGTTGTCAGCAGGTGAGACATAAACAGCCTCATAACTTACGGATAATCAATAAAATTAACAGTAGAAGCAGACATAAAGTTCTAAAATTTTGAAGACCAGAAGTAGAGTATTCATGGTTGTGTCACTTTGATGTACGATCATAGACGTTGGTATTATAAGTATTAAGTGGTGTGTACCTGCATTAAAATCGTTTTCAGAGCTTATGGCGAACTGTCATCTACTTTTGCAACCTCAAGTGGTGTCCGTCAAGGCTGTCCACTTTCCCCATTTTTGTTTAACTTCATCATAGATCTACTGATGGAAATAACTTTCTCGTCGACTGAGTTCTTGGGTATTGATCTCCATCCAGGAGGTCCACTTATCGACTTAGAATATGCAGATGACATAGTCCTGTTTGGTGAAGACGCTGACAAAATGCAGAGTCTTTTGGTAGCACTAAGCAACAATGCCAGAATGTTTGGAATGCGCTTCTCTCCCTCTAAATGCAAGCTGCTGCTTCAGGACTGGTCTGCGTCAACACTTGAACTAAGGATAGGGAGTGAAGTAGTCGAACGCGTTGGAAACTTCACTTATCTTGGAAGTCTGATCAGCCCTAATGGGTTGGTGTCGGACGAAATCTCAGCACGGATCCGAAAAGCTCGCTTGGCATTTGCCAACTTGCGTCACCTTTGGCGAAAGCGAGGTATCCGTCTATCAATAAAAGGACGAGTATACTGCGCGGCAGCTCGTTCTGTTTTTATTTACGGCTGCGAAACATGGCCATTAAGAGTAGAAAATACTCGTAAGCTACTAGTACTTGACCACAGATGCCCTAGAAATATTGCTGGCGTCTGCTGGGATCACCGGATAAGTAATAGTGAGGTTAGACGCAGGGTATTAGGGAATGGTGGTAAATCAGTTGATGAGGTTGTGAATCTTCATCGATTGAGATGGTTGGGTCACGTGTTACGTATGCCTGAACACCGATTACCACGACGTGCAATGTTAACCGGTGTTCGGGATGGTTGGAAGTTAGGGGTGGCCAAACCAAAACGTGGCATCAGTGCTTGAAGTCACTAGCTTCTAGTCTGAGCCATGTTGGTAGATGCAGACTACTTGGTTGGGTCCGCGTGACAATCGTAACCAATGGTTGGAGACTCTTGGTGACATGGCTCAGAATCGATCACAATGGCGTCGGTGTATACACTCCCTGTCTTCCCTTAAACTAAGAGATTAAAATCACTTCATATCTTTCTTTCTACGAACCAATTCTTTCTTCTTGTACTATATTTCTATATGCAATCTTTCTCTTATATATTACCACCTTTGACCTAACCACTGCTATGAATCCGGTATTCATCTTGTGCTGATGCGGTATGGCAACCTGGACCGATGCACATATGTGCCTGGTCCTACGTTGTAGCTGACTGACTGACTGAGTTTGGTTCATCAGTGCTTTAATTCATTTAACTTGTACCTAATTAGCATATACTTCTCTAAAATTCCGTATAGTCCACTCTCCCTCTCGAAATGCTCTCACATGGCCACGCGTATATAGCCTCTGCCATGGAAGTCCTACTCACTGCCTTCTCGTGGCGGGGGATGTTGTTTACCGAATCGAGAGGACGAAAAGCGAAGGTCCGGTTCTTTAGTTAGGTCGGTGGACACGGAGGGTCCACCCAGGGGAGTTGGGTAACCCTTATTCCGAACCAATGGTGCACATGGGCTCCAGTACCCTGAGGGAACAAATGGCGTATGAACCAATCGTTGGTCACCGGCTACCATGGGACTGTATCTCTTTACGATGCTCCACTGCCTTGTGGATCAGACCTTTAGGTCGAAGACTCCGGGAGTGGCCCTTTAAGAAAGCCACCTGCTTCGGTTTGGGCACCTGTGCAGTATCGCAGCCCTCACACAACTCAAATGAGATTTGTGTGGCGCATATGTATCTGGTGCCCTTATGTACCAGTATTTGTGTTCAAATAATAATAATAATAGTTCATACTTAATAACATTACTCGGTCATCAAATCTATCGTACATTTTTTGTTTGCAATTAACTGATAGTCATCAATTATTTACCGACCATGTTAATCGTAACAGATTTCTTATGGTAATCAGACTATGGCTGATTGTAATGAATAAGATTAGTTCGTCTTCATTCTTACCAGCAAAAGTAATTTCACGTCATTTTTGCCTTCTAACCAATTATCAGCACAACCTATCCTACCAATTAATAATAACTTTCATCTCTTTATTCGCATTGCAACCTAGTGGTTTAGGTTGTCAACTTTCAACTACCTGGACTCTGGGTAACGGCTTCAGACCATCTCTAATAAACTTCAGTGTATACAGTGTTGTAGAGCAGTGGCTGATAAGTTCAACTTTTAACCACCAAGTCTTCAGTTTAAACCCGTTGTACCTACTTTGGTTTGAGCAACCAGATAGTATCATTAGCCCTTACACTTGAAGTTTGGCTCATACCCAAGTACCTGGTGAATAGGTTAATTTATTCTACACATTGTTACTAACTTACTAATGACATTACTTTCGTCATCCTTATGCAGCTTTCAGATTTAATGCTATACCCACATTGGGATCACTTGTACATCTAAAGCAGAAACTTCTGTTGAATGTCTCTTAGGTCCCCGTTACTAGGAAATTTGCTTCAAACATCGCTTTATTTCTCACCAAAACAATCTCACATTATTGCATCAGTAATATATTTCTATCCAACAAAACTTTAGGAGTTACATCAATTAAGGCACATAAAGTAGCCAGTATCCAAGTTGATCTACTACTCTCTAATGGGCTTGTATCCAGTTGTATAAGGATACTAATCGTCTGTAAAAAATAGCGCTCTCGGCTACTCATCGACTTATTTTCAGGTTATCAATAGTGTAGAAATAACAGACAATCAACATTGCTCTTCAATACCTATTTTGGATCAGCTGTTTTTCATAATACACTAGTGGTACATATTTGAGGTGGTGTAACTTATTTATTTTTGATATTTACTATCGACCGACCCCTGATAGTGAAAGGTTTCTGTCAGATATTTTCATTGGTTCGTATAGTTTACGTTGTTTACCTCCTCCATATCTTCTTGTTATCCATTTTAGTTACGGATTTGTAGAGTTTATGACGGAAGAAGATGCCGACTATGCTATGCGTATTATGAACATGATTAAATTGTATGGGAAGCCTATTCGCGTAAATAAAGCATCAGCGAATCAGAAAAATCTTGATATAGGTGCTAATATTTTCATTGGCAACTTAGATCCTGAGGTAGATGAAAAGCTACTGTACGATACTTTCAGTGCATTTGGTGTTATACTGCAAACTCCAAAAATTATGCGTGACCCTGAAACAGGAAATTCTAAAGGGTACGCATTTATCAATTTTGCAAGTTTTGAAGCTAGTGATGCAGCAATTGAAGCGATGAACGGACAGTATCTTTGTAATCGAGCCATCACTATCTCATATGCATTCAAAAAAGACAGTAAAGGTGAACGCCATGGCTCAGCTGCTGAACGTTTGTTAGCTGCCCAAAGTCCTCTTTCTCAAGTAAGTGAAATTGATCAGACTGAATTGACGTGGTTATTTGTATTATTTTTACAATATGTACATTATTAGACCTACAATACAATATGAGCTAAAACAGTTGTTTAACCTTTTACTAGTTTTTAATTAACACAAAATGATTCCTCATCTGAAGGTTGCAGTTGTTAGTGACACATACTGACTGTGAAAGTTGTCTGATTATGTAGCTAATTGTTGCAGTCGAACGCATATATTACTAATTTACAAAAGCAGAAGTATTACTTTTCAAGGGAATGTAGATTTCTCGTTTATATTTTAACACAACGTTCGTTTGTTGTTTTACTTACTTCATTTGATGTAACTGGATAGTTTCGTATCCTCTGTTAATTCGTGTTTAAATTCGAGATAAAGAAAATCCAATAAATCAAACAGTTAAGTTGGTAATATTTTGACTGAAACTCTAACTTTTACACTCTCATTAATTCATTTATTTTCCTTTTTTTAAATTTCGTACCTGAAATTCTCAATTATTCATGACCAATACTTCCTTTATGAGTGATGGTAACAACCATTACTTTTCAATACGTTTGTATTAACCGACAGCGTAACATGAGTGATATGTAAATGATCAAAATATGGATGAAATACACTAAATACTCCTTAATATTTTGTAGGTAATTTACAAATGCAAACCAAAAATATAATGACATTACGTATATAACGTCACTCTGTTACAGTGTAGTACTATTTTACGCTTCCGAAAATGATTGATCAGTACATAAAAATACGAAATAAAAAGTAGCTTTACGATTAATTAAGTTCTAAATTTCGAAAATTGGTGAGTGAGGAATAAAATCTTTCCATAACCTGAAAATTCCGTATCAGAGTCGCTTCGAGTAACAGCCAACAACTCACTGTATAGAAACTATTCTAGTCCTTCATCGCATTACTTTTTTATCTTGATTGTTTTTTTTAAAATGATTAATAATATGGTAATTGAGTGAAATTACGTTAGAAATCAACACAAAGCGCATGGAAACAGTATACAGTTTTCTATATTGCAGTGACTTGTCGAGTTGCCCGAGTTCGTTTGTTAAGTGCCAATTACATTTCTTATCTCTAAATCCCTGCACAAATTAAGTAATTTCATTGATAATATTCATAGAAACACATCAGCTATTAGATTAGTTTCGTAATACTAAATACTTACAGGTAATTTATTAACAACTTCACTGATAATAACTGAGTGGAGAATTCACTTCTTGTAGTTAAAAGCTGTTTAATTTGCCACTAACAGTTCGATTAAAATTAGTAACTTATTGTTAGGCACAATCAATGTGAAATAGAATTTGCTGATCGACGGTTTTCTACAACCTTTTTCTATACACTTATTTATTTTAATAAAATAATGTAACTCAGTCACCGAGTATAGCTTTTGATCCCACTTGCTTTTGTGAGAGCTAGTGGTACTATCCAGCTGTCCAAAGCAAAATAACTAGAGGACTTTAGTTTGTAACTTTCTGGTTAAAAACCGAGTGCCGTAAACACCAAGTCAATTCTTCTGCTTATGAATTACATAAAATTTCAAGTTAACTCATATTTTAAAATTTTTCTCCTAGGCTGAGCGCCCACATCAGCTGTTTGCAGATGCTCCACCACCTCCTCCTCCTCCGCCCCCACCCGCTCTGCTTGCAGGGACTATGGCCCATTCAGTTCCAACTATGACATCTATCACAATACCTGCTGGATCTCTAGTCATGCCGCCGCCTCCACCTCCGCCAATTCAAACCGCCTTGGTGGGATTCGGGCAGTCTATGGTTCATGGTGCCATGCCACCCCCTCCCCCGCCTCCCCCACCACCTGTTCTGCCGATCCCTGTTGCTTCCGCCGCTCCGACATCCTTCCCACCTCCGCCGCCGCCTCCTCCGTCTAACTTTTCTGCACCTCCACCACCACCGTTTCAGGGATTTCCACTCCAAGCCCCAGACCAGCAGTGGCAAACGACAGGATCTACAGCTCCTGGACCTACACAAGTTGCATAACAATAACAGTATTTCTGATGTTTCCAGTTTCCTCTATAAAATATAGTGTAAAGTATTAAGAGTGTTCTTTTTTATAACATCGATGACAATCAAAATGCTTTGTTGATAGAAAGAACTAAGTGATACTGAATAATTCTGCTTTCAAGGATCTGACTATCAAAGGTAGAAATGAGTTGATCTTTGTAATATAGAGAATTTTAAAAGCGATTAGCATTTACATGTAAATTGTAGTCAATCCGGCAAAATATTTTGACACAGTTATATGTTGTTTTATCTAACTCTAATTGCGAAGCTTGTTATCACATAATTTTTATTGTTTTTAAATCTCACATTCTTTTGTAAGTACGATTGGAAAGGTGATATTCCAAACAATTTATACCTAAAGCTAATTTCGTACTGTATCCGAACATCCACCATGTGTACCCTACCTACTCCCACCGTTTTTTTCTAACTTCTTCCTCAGCTAGGTTGCTGTTTGTTGGAGTAGCTTTATTGCTGTTGGTCTCTGCCCAAAATATTTGGAGTATCTTTCAGGTACGCAAAAGAGATTTCACCATGTTTCTATCCATATGTCGAATGCTTTCTCACGATCCAAGAAGTTGACAGACAGAAATGACCTTCATTCAACTGATTTTCCAAAAGTCATAGGCAGTCTCGCAATTTTGTCGGTATATGATTGATCCCTAAGGAATCCAGCTAGATCTCTAAGTTGGTGATCTGCCGGATCTTTTATTCGGTTCAGAAACATTGTTAAAAGCTTTACCTGCTTCCGACAATAGTGTGTTCCTTTGTATTTCTCATACTTATTAAGATCTGCTTTCTTCGATGTCTTGATGAGATGTCCTTCCTTACAGTCCATTGTTTCTTCTTCCTTCCAACCTTTCCGAAGAGAACATGGGATATCTATAAGGTTGTCTCCATACCTGACTTCAACGCTTCATCTGGTATTCTGTTTGGTTCTGGCGCTTCACCATCCCTGGTTTGTCTGATGCGCTTGCAGATCTCTATTATGGTCAGTAGAGTGTTATCAACGGAGAGTTCTGTGAGTGCTGCTCCGACGTTTAATGGGTTCATTGAGCCTGATCTATTCAAGAGCTTTCTGAAAAGTACTCTACTCTTCATATTCAATGATTACTTTTCCTTATTTGTTCTGGTTTTCTATATCTCTTTGCTAGCCTTTTGGTTGTATCATATAGGTCTTTCATGTTTCTTTCTCTTGTATTTTGTCCAGTTGTAGTTACCAGGTCTTCCACATATTTCGGCTTGTCAGCTATAATGTTCTTCTTGACCCAGTTTGAATCTATATATTGAATATATGGCTTGAGCTTCTCTGATTTGTTTGGCTGTTGTTGACTTCTGTCTTCCTGTCTTTTATTTCCTGACCCTTTTCCAGGTTGTCTTTAGAGATCCATCCTTTAGGATGACACTTCTTGAGTTTTTAGACACAGTGAACGATTCATCTAAGAGTACACTTAAATTGTAAGTGAATGTGAACTAATATTGTCGCAAAAACATAAAGATGAAAAAATCAATCAAATGATATCCGGGTCATCTAAAAAATATCCACTATCAAACATATTCGTATCAGTGTAAGTAGACTGGAATGAGAGTAAATCCGTCAAACCAACGTAATTTAGAACGTGGCACTAGTACATCGGTCCAAGTTTCCATATTTCATTAGCACAAGTGAAGTCGTCAGGGCAAATTCCAGGGTAGCAGAAGTAGTAACAGTATTAGTGGAAACAAGAAAAACCTGGAAACAGATTTCGAGAGGAAGTTTAAATTGGTCAAATGGAAAATAAATTTTTAAGGTAGTTTAGAAACTTAGGATTTAAAGATGAGAAGTGGATACTCCTCTGCCTTTGCGAACGGTTCTAAGCCATGTCTATGACCATTGATTACGACATAATATACGCACCCCTACCGGATAGTCTGGACCTATCCACACTGCTCAGTCCAACAATCAGTGTCTTCATGGATTTATGCCATGTTTGGCTACCCTTAGCTTCCTACCAACCCACTCCTGCACCAGCCATCATCGGGCGTAAAGGTGGTCAGTCGATAGGCATATGTAATACATGTCCTAACAATCTCAATTAGTGAAGATTCACTACAGCATCAATTGGTTTGACATACGTATCTTGTATCCAAGGTCTAGACTCAGAATCGCTAACCCGACGATCTCAATGGTTCGGAGAAACCTATAGTCGACTACTAGTAATCTACTAAAATCTTTTATTCATAATTATCGACAGTTCGTCATACTTGTGTGAACTGTGATACTGCCCGGGTGCCCAGACCGAAGCAGGTGGTTATCTTAGGGGGCCACCCCCGAGCCTTCGACCTAAAGGTCTGATCCACAAGGGAGTGGAACATCGTAAAGAGATACAGTCCCATGGTAGCCGGTGACCAACGATTGGTTCATACGTCATTTGTTCTCTCAGGGTACTGGAGCCCATGTGCACCATTGGTTTGGGATCCGGTTAAAGCGCCGGACATTCGTTTTTCGTCCTCTCCTTTTCGTAAACAACACCCCCGGTGAGAGAAGGCAGTGAATATGACTTCCGTGGTAGAGGCTGTATACGCGTGGCCATGTGAGAGCATTTCGAGAGGGAGGGCGGGCCCACCCCACTCTCGGCCATACCAGGGCATTTAAATAAATAATAATTTATTCATAATTAGTATGATTCAGATCCTTGATGAAGGACGAAGTGAACTGCTGCGTAGTATACTCTCCCTTTAGTTAGCAGACAGAAAGTTTCCCTACTCTATAAGTTTCTAAAAGCTGTCCGAACTTCGTGAACTCGCGTCGAGACTTCGTCAGACACCAATCGACCGCGACTGGTGAGACTTCCAAGTGGTCGATATAGACCAGTCCTAAAGTGACATTTTGCCTTTAGAGAGGGAGGAACTCATCCCAAATATACTATCATTAATGCTCTAGATTGTCAGAAGGCTACATTTTTTCTGTGTCTTCACCAAACGAGACTATGCCAGCAAAGGAATCTCCTGGTAGAAGACCGATTCCTGATAAGTCATACAGTGAAAGTGTTTTATCCAAAAGAATGCATATCATAAAGTTTTATTAAAATAGGAAAAATGGAGAACTATGGGAAACATCACTTGAAGTTATCAATTACGATAACAGTTTTCCATAAGCTCCGACTCAAGTAGTATTGTTCGAGTAGAGAGGCTGTTCACGGTTGATATAATTTGGTTTCCCTTCCGATAACCTGCATTTACATAAAACATATCGAGCTATGGAATCGAACGTTTCTTTAGGGTAGAGAAATACGACTATGATTGAAAGTTGTTAAGTATGTTTGTGTTCGAGGACCTGACGAAATGCAAATATTTGGTTTGCACACCCATGCCTGAAAACCGCCTGGTTTTCCCAAGTTTGCTCTTCCTGAGCTCTAGTTAAGCAACGGGTGATTTTTGAGGCTAATCTTTTAAACAATCTTAGCAAAACTGGTTCTCTTGTCGTTATCACAAGAAGAGTTTTATCCTTTCTTATAGACTTCAACGATTAGCGATCGAGACCAGTCAGAGAAGAATACGTTTATTTTCCAAACTCAAGCCAAGATCTCAGTTAACCTAACAATCAAAACTAGACTATCATCTTTAAAGACCTCAAGGACTTATCCATCATGGCCTACTGTTCCCCATCTTTTCAGTTTTGCTGTGGCTTTCTCTACTTTAAGAGTCGGAGGGTTTATACTGACATCCCATTCAGGTAAAAGTAGACAGATGAAGAATAGATGGAGAGCTACTTAGCTGTCCTTGAGATTACTTTACTCATTTTTCCAGTCTCCTGGGTTGCGAGTGAATCATTGACCCATGTTTTTCAAAAATAGTCCAACCAACTACTGAATATTTCATACCTGTTCCTTTGATAAGTCTGGAAGTTGTCTACTGTTGTCCATCATCACCTTTTCTATCGCATCTACCCTATCTGCTCATCTCTGTGGCTGGGGTTTACTAGATTTCTGGAACATGTTCCAAATAATTTACACTATATCCAGTGCTCAGGATTGAATGGTGAATCCTGGTAGGCGGTCTATGCTTCTCTACGAGAGGTAAGAGGCGTAAATAAGTAAGTATGTCTAGTACTCATTGAATAATTCAATGGCAAATTTCTCTAACTGTGACTTTGATTACCTAAGAGAACATAATTATCTCAGAGCTGCGAATTTACTCTAATGATTAATAGCATAAGGTATGGTACTTAGAATCAAGATTTCACCTTAATTGAAACATAGGAAGTAACCAGACATATACGTACCCCCAAGTATACATCTATAAAAATGCCTAACGATATAGGTGACTTCTTAACAAAGCCAAGTGTACAAATTAACCGACAAGATAAAAAGGAGTAGTCTGTTCAGAAATTAGAATGATTCACGTGGGAGTTAGAATGAGTGTGGCATAGCTACTTTGACTAACATACTAAGTTAAATATTTATTCATGGATTCACACTTCTAAGGTGTCCCATACGAGGATGAGACAACAGTCTAGTTCATTGGTTCATTGGTTCGTAGTGCGGCGTCGAGTAGCGGTTGACTATGATCACCACTACAGAAAGAATACGTGCCAGTTAACCGATAAGATCCCCCCGTAAGCCAAATATCAGAAGGCAGTTGATGGCTGTAGTCGAGATGTATTTGTTAGTGATCCCGTCGTATCGAAAGAATACCGAGATCGTGCCAGGTTACAAGTGTGGTTACTGAGCGTAACCGAATTCGTGCAAGGTCACAATCAACGGAAGAAAGTATGTATTCCGGTACAGTTAAACAAGCAAGTACGGTAAAACAATCCCCGGCACAATCGGTTATACCACCAATCGCGTTCTCTTGATAAAAGTAGGTCACTACAAGTTGTCCATCTAAAATCACTCCATGATGTAAACTACAAAATCCAACATGCTCCTTAAATCCCCCCACCTCAAACCTATAGCATTCTTTCATCATTTAAGAAATAACTTAATGTCTTATATTCGATTGTAGGATTTTTCTTAAATGTCTGTTACTGATCAAATTATTATATACTACAAACC